TGAGAATGTGTTCATACATATATATTCTCCATAGTGTCTAGCACATTCCTGTAAAATAGAAGGAACCTAATATGTGATTAATCAACTGTTAATCTCACATCTCATCTTCTCCTTTCAATTCCTACTGCTACTGCCCTAGGTCAGACCCTCACCTGGATTACTGAGGTAGGTTTCCATTCGTTTATTCATTCGTCCAGCAAACACATTGAGAATCAACTGTGTTTGAGACAATGTATTATATTCTAAAAATAATCTCACTGATCAAAAATTAACAATTTTCATTTACGTATATTAGCAACAGATAGACTGGTTACATCAGCAAACAGGTTGCCTTAGTTGAAGAACTGCAAACTCAAAAGCCCACAGGGGTCAGACAAGTGATTTACATGTATAAAGAGAATCAGGGGTCACCAAGAAGTTGTGGGGACTATGGCAAACAAGAAAGTACATGCCCCATCTAAATGAATTCAAATTAAAATATTTTTTAAAACATGTCTGCTGGCCAAGCCACCTATGTGGAACCTCTAATTTAATTAATCAGCCATTTCAGTGGGGAAGAAAATCAGTCAACACTTGGCTGTTTCATTGACTTGATAGACGATTCAGTCAAAAGAGTCTCTCCAGCAGCCTTCTAAACACCTAGCTGAGTCTCTAGAAAGTGGGTCATTTGTTTTCTGGCTTTCAAGACCATAATCAGTGAAGAATCATCCTTTACCACGTTCAGGCTGCCTTTAACTCACCTTGAGGAAACTAGCCAAACTATAATTGACATTTCTGGACTCATCGGGAATCTCTGCATACCGAATAGTCACATGGGGAATGACTGCAAGAAGCAGTGAATGTAAGACATGGTGATATGCCTCGGGAAATCTCTGGCCTCTGGGAAGCTTAAATTAAACAGGCATAGAAAAAAGTCAGAGTTCCAAAAGATCTAAATAAATTGCCATTTTAACTTTCAAATACATTCCATATGTAAGCATATTTTCTAACTGGGGTATATTCTCTCCCCACTTAAAAATGACATCACTAATTCAATGTATACTTTGCTCTAGATCATTACAAGGAACTATCTGGACCTCTAATAATATAATGGACTAAAATTATCAGCACGACCAGGTCCCAACATTGGAATACTATGTTCCTGAGATACAGACATATCCCAGTTTTTCATTCCATTTTTTTCCTAACACAAGAGTATGCATGCACCTCAATTTTAGCAAACCAATTCTAAGAAAATACTAATAAAAAAGACAAATATATATACTTTTTTATTTCAAAAGTCATAGCTTTAGGATTCCCGTAACTAAGGAAGAACATTTCTTTGCACCTTTAAGACAATTTAAAACATCAACTAAGCATGACCACCAGATTTTTGAAAAACATCTATTGCATAAAATACTTTAAACTTTGTACATCACATACAGCTTTCTAAACTAAAGGTTATTTCTGATTTGATACTTGTTCTCATTGCAAATGAATGTTTTCAACAGACATTTTTAAACCACAAGACAAAGGAAAAGCTTCAAAGGTAATGAGTTTTATGTGGCAAACAATTACAGGAAAAAATCTATGAGAAGAGTTTCTGCAAATCGGACTGTAAAATAGCAACTGTCAGACCTAAGATTTATGCAATACATGTATTTTTTTTTTTTTATTGCACTTCAGGCGAAGGCCCACAGAACAAATAGCCCCCCACGAAACAGTAGCACACACACTGTTCCATGACATCGGTCAACAACCCCACAACATGTCAACCCTCTAACCTCTCAACCCTTCTTTCTGGTGAAAATACACACAGCCAAAGACACACCTTCCCAATACATGTATTTTTTAAATAAGTAAAGTTGAAAAAGCTAAGGGCTGAGTCCTTAAATATAAGTGGATTTGCGTATCATGGCTGTCTGTAAGATTAGCTTTCTTTGTCCATGTTAACTATTTTTGAGTCTACTTACCTTAATTTTATTCTCTTCCAACAAGTATGTGGCCATAGACTTTGCAATAATTTCAAAGAAAAACCACGAGTACTAAAATAAACAAAACAAATCTTTAATAGTTACCCAAATCTTTGAAGCGTAGCAAAGTTTGACAAATCAATATGGATTTTGTTTCTGAACTTTAATAGCATTTTAAAGTGAGTTAAATTCACTTCCAAATTCAGACAGAATACTTACAAATTGTTTTAGAGGAATGTAATATGGTGTACCTCAGGGTGATATACACAGGGCATGTGGTGTGAATGTCTGCCCCAGTATGGAGGGATTATTTTATCACTGACATTGTTTAGAATTGCTACCATGTGATGATAATAAAGAAGAGTCCAATTTTTAGTTGATTTTATCGTTGCTTTTAAATTCTCTACAGACAATGAATCTTATTACTGCCTGTAGTCAGCAATGGATCAAATCCAACTCTTGGTATAACAGTGGGGCCAGCCTAAGTAATGCAGGTGTTTACCCACATAGCGTGATTTGAAGGGTGCAGAGAAGCCTCAAGCAGATACATACTAAGATCCGGGAAATACCAGCATAAAGAACAGAAATAGTAAAAGCACGACAGTATTAACAGCTACCATTTATTGAGTGCCTGCTATGTGCCAGAAACTGTGTTAAGTACTTTACTTCTATTTAAGAAATGAAACATTGGAGGATCAGTTGTTGTTGATGTGTGCTGTCAAGTCGATTCTGATTCATAGTAACCCTATATGATAGAGTAGAACTGCCCCATATGGCTTCCTAGGCTGTAATTATTATGGGAGCACATCGCCAGGTCTTTTCTCCTGCGGGGCTGCTGGGTGGGCTCGAACCACTGAACTTTTGGTTAGCAGCCGACCACTTAACCACTGCACGGCCAGGGCTCCTTTGAAGGCTCAGAGAGGATAAATAACTGGCCCGAGATACCAAACTAGTATGTGGCAGATCCAGGACTCAAATCCAGGGATATCTGATCCAAAATTCTTTCTACTACACACTTGATTGGAAGCAGAGGGTGGGGAGGTTGGAGAAGACTGTGGAGGACTTTAGGAAAAAGGATGCATGGGAAAAGTGGTGGGGAGAGGGAGGGTCACAGGAGGAAATGATGAACGACCAAAACTAAAATGGGAGGGTATCTCACGAGTCTATCTATGGCTGCTTCCGTTCCCCATGTGTCCCATTTCCTTACCTTTAGCAGTTTGTTTATTGATAAAAAATCTGCAGACTGCTTCAGTATTGCTATCATCGTAGTAGCCAGGGTTTCATGTATCAGCTGGGCCTGAGGAGCACTGGGTTTTTCAGGTCGGAAGCTATACTACAAACAAAGAAAATGAACCGTGAAACCAAATTTTCCCATGAAATTAATTGCTCAGAAAGAAAGCTTACTTCACAAACCTTTATGAAGGATCTTAAATAGTTATCCAAGCCTTCTTCATGGCACTTTGATACAATATGTAAGAGAACCCTGAAACAACATTCACAAAGTCAGCGTACCATGCAACAATTAAACCATAGTTTGACTGTTAAAAAAGATCATCATTTCCAACCCCCTAAGAATATCTAACACTGCTTGAATATTAAAAAGTAAAATAATTCCCTAAGATGTAATGGCAGTGTGGGTCTAACAGAAAGATTTCTGCATCTAATATGCTCAGGACCTTGTAAAATACATTTCCTGATTCAAAAGGATACCTGAATTTGGCAACTCAGAGGTTGCCTTTCCTTTCTAGGTCGCTGTATACATTGTAAGTATGGTCACAGCCACTATGGGCGAAAAGACTTTGGGTACAAGCAATGTTGAAATCCCCTCTAGTGAGGATAGAAGGAAAAGAATAGAAATATAAACAGAAAAGCATGTCAACAGATGAGAAAAGGGGAGAGACATGGTAGGTATAATGAATGACATGAACTAAACTTGGAGGTAAATATAAAAGTCACCGTAAGTTTTAAAGTTAAGAGACTTAGCAATGCTTCCTAAACATTAGGGTGCAGCACAATCACCTGCAGGGTTTGTGACTAGATTGCTCGGCTTTCTATCCAGAGTTTCTGATTTTGTAGGTCTGGGACAAGTTCAATAATTAGCACCGTTAATAAGTTCCCAGGTAGTCTGGGAACCACGCTCAGAGAACCACTGAACTAGCCAACACGCTGCTGTTGAGTCGATTCCGACTCATAGTGACCCTATAGGACAGAGTAAAACTGTCCCATAGGGTTTCCTAGGAGTGGCTGGTGGATTTTAACTGTGGGTAGGTTGAGGCCTGGTGGCAGAGGCTGTAGCAGCAGCAGAAGCAGCAAAGCCAGAAACATCCAGCATTCAGCTCACAATTTCTTTGAAGTCTTCTGGTTTAATTTCAAAATTCAGGTGCAACCTGCGTTCTACTCTATAATATATCCGCGTTTGTTTTCATATAAAAATAATACTCCCTTGTTCTTTTATGTAAACGTTGATGGTTTAGGGCTGCTCTGTCCAATATGAGAGCCAATAGCCACATGCAGTTAACCTAAACTAAAATTACATTAAAACTGAATACAATTAAAAACTCAGTTCCTCAGTTGCATTGAACACATTTCAAGTACTCAACAGCTAAATGTTGCTAGTGGCTACCACACTGGACACTTCCATCATGACAGAACATTTCCATCATCACGGAAACTTCTATTGGGTATCACTAGTCTAAGGCAATGATTCTAAAACTCTGTTGCATTATGGAATCACCTGGGAAACATGAAAAAATACCAGTGCCCGAGTTCCACCCCAGAGATTGTGATTTAATTTGTATGAAGTATGGTCCAGACATAGACATGTTTAAAAACTCCCCAGGTGATTCTAATGTGCAATAAACATTAAAAACCCTTGGTTCTAAATACATCGAGTTTATCCTATGGCTTCTGGTACCATTTATCCCTGGGGATACAAATCCCCCAGTCTGAGAAGCATGAAAGTAGAGAAAGCTGAAATTAGATTTCTAACTTTTAGGTTATCATTTGGAAGTTAAATTTATATTCAAAATGAAGAAACTCAAAAGAAAACAAAACTTGCTTCTGTTTATAACACCAAAACTCACATGGTACAGTTGATAGGAACGTCATCTTCATGGGTCATATTTGTGAGAACTCGGAAGAGTTGCATAAGAATAACAGGTAGAAACTGTATCATGACTTGGATCTCCATGGCATGCAAACACTAAAATAAGTCATTATTAGTTATGAAAAGAAACAGATATACAATTTACAAATGTGAAACACAACAAAAAATTAAGTAATGAAAACTATATTCGCTAGAATACAAGCTCACTAGAATGTGAACTCGATGAGACAGAAGACTTTGTCTTATTAATTACTTATCCACACCTCTATTTTTTGCACTCAGATTTTAGTAGTTTATTTAATCTTTAATTAATACTTTACCTAAGATAACAAGTACAACTGGGATAAACAAGTTTTGGAGTAAACAACTGACACTTGATAAATGAAATGAACACTCAGTTGTGGTAGTTGGGGTGGGAGGAGGAGACGAGTTTGGAGGTACCGGAGACTAGTCTACTGGCCCCCAGCATTCAGTGAGTTTTCCGAAGGGAATGTAAGCCATCAGTTGATCTGGTGAGAAACAGGATTCAGTAAACAGTGCTCCTATATATAACTGGCCTTACACCAACACCATCTACAAAACTGAGGCAGTTCTGACACTACTGCAAGAAACCAAGAGACCTGCATAATTAGAAAAACATACCTTGCTCATGGATAGGTACACTCAACATTGTGAAAACGTCAATTCTACCCAAAGCTATCTACACACACAACACAATCCCGATCCAAACTCCAGCTGCATTTTTTAATGAGATAGAGAAACAAATCACCAACTTCAAATGGAAAGGGAAGAGGCCCCGGATAAGTGAAGCATTACTCAAGAAGAAGAACAAAGTGGGAGGCCTCACACTACCTGATTTTAGAAACTACTATACTGCAACGGTAGTCAAAACAGCCTGGTACTGGTACAACAACAGACACATAGACCAATGGAACAGAATTGAGAATCCAGACATAAATTCATCCACCTATGAGCAGCTGTTATTTGACAAAGACCCAAAAGTCTGTTAATTGGGGAAAAGACAGTCTCGTTAACAAATGGTGCTGGCGTAACTGGATATCCATCTGCAAAAAGCTGAAACAAGACCCACACCTCACACCATGCACAAAAACTAACTCAAAATGGATCAAAGACTTAAATATAAAATCGAAAACAATAAAGATCATGGAAGAAAAAATAGGGACAATGCTAGGAGCCATAATATATGGCATAAACACAATACGAACCATAAGTAACAATGCACAAGCTCCAGAAGAGAGACTACATAAATGGGAGCTCCTAAAAATCAAACACTTATGCTCATCAAAAGACTTCACGAAAGAGTCAAAAGACAACCTATAGACTGGCAAAAAATCTGTGGTTAGGACAAACCTGATCAGCGTCTAATCTCCAAAATCTACAAGACACTGCAAACCCTCAACAACAAAAAGACAAATAACCCAATTTAAAAATGGGCAAAGGATATGAACAGGCACTTCACCAAAGAAGACATTCAGGCAGCTAACAGACACATGAAGAAACGCTCATGATCATTAGACATTAGAGAAATGCGGATCAAAACTACAATGAGATATCATCTCAACCCACGAAGTCTAGCATTAAGCCAAAAAACACAGAATAATAAATGTTGGAGAGGTTGTGGAGAGACTGGAACACTTATGCATCGTTGGTGGGAATGTAAAATGGTACAACCATTTTGGAAATCAATTTGGCGCTTCCCTAAAAAGCTAGAAATAGAAGTACCATACGATCCAGCTATCCCGCTCCTTGGAATATATCCTAGAGAAATAAGAGCCGTCACACAAAAAGATACATGCACACCCATGTTCATTGCAGCACTGTTCACAAATGCAAAAAGACAGAAACAACCTAGGTGCCCATCAACAGACAGATGGATAAATAAATTATGGTATATTCGCACAATGGAATACTACACAATGATAAAGAACAACGATGAAGCTGTGAAACATAACACGGACGAAGCTGGAGGGCATTATGCTGAGTGAATTTAGTCAGTCATAGAAGGGCAAATACTGTATAAGACCACTAGTATAAGAACTCAAGGTTTAAATACAGAAGAAAACATTCTTTGATGGTTACGAGGGTGGGGAGGGAGGGTGAGGGCTATTTACTAACTAGATACTAGATAAAAATTATCTTAGGTGAAGGGAAGGACAGCACACACTACAGGGGAAGTCAGCACAACTGGACTAAACCAAAAGCTAGGAAGCTTCCTGAATACAATCAGACACTTTGAGGTATAGAGTAGCAGGGGTAGGGGTCTGGGGACCATGCTTTCAAGGGACATCTAGGTCAGTTGGCATAACAAAGCTTATTAAGAAAATGTTCTGCATCCTACTTTGGTGAGTGGCGTCTGGGGTCTTAAAAGCTTGCCAAGCGGCCATCTAAGATGCATCAATTGGTCCCAACCACCTAGAGTAAAGGAGAATGAAGAACACCAAAGACACAAGGAAAGTATCAGCCCAAGAGACAGAAAGGGCCACGTAAACCAGAGACTTCATCAGCCTGAGACCAGAACTAGATGGTGCCCCGGTACCACCAATGACCACCCTGACAGGGAACACAACAGAGAATCCCAGATGGAGCAGGAGAAAGGTGGGGTGCAGAACTCAAATTCTAGTAAAAAGACCAGACTTAATGGTCTGACTAAGTCTGGAGGAACCCAGGAAAGCATGGCCCTCAGACCCTCTGTAGGCCCAGAACTAAAACAATTTCCGCGGCCAACTCTTGAGACAAAGATAGGGCTGGACTGTGGGACATAAAGTGTGCTTCTTAGCTTTAGTAGATACAAGAGACTAAACAGGCAGCTTCTGTCCAATGTGAGATGGGAAGGCAGAGAGGGCTAGGTGCTGGTTGAATGGACATGGGGAATCAGGGGTGGAAAGGAGGAGTGTGCTGTCACAGTATGGGGAGAGCAATTAGAGTCACATAACAATGTATCTATAAATTTTTGTATGGGGAAAAAAACTGAGGCAGTTCTTAACATTCTAACATCCTCATAACACACTGCTTCAAAATGCTCACATTGTCTCTACTGATAGGTGTGTGATTAACATCAAAAAGGAGAACTGTGTTCATAAACACATAGAGATGATACAAACAGCAGAATTTATAAAAAATGCCTCTTCTTTCTTTCCTTCTTATTCATTCATTTAACCAACCAGCCAACCAAACAAACCCTGCTAAGCACCTTCTACATGCAATTCAATATATGGCGCCATGGGAAATAGATGTATAAGACAAGTCCCTACAGTTAATAAGCTCCTGAGTTATTTTTCACAATCTCTCTTACTTTTGACCCATATTTCCATCCCTACTGCCAACACTCCCAGGATTCTATCATATATATGCTAATTTTCCCGAAAATGCCCTCTTAGATTTCTGTGCAGCCTCTCTTCAATCACATGGCAAGAGGCAAGATACCTAGCTCAAGGAACTTAGTCTACCCTTGAAACTTTCCCTTCCTTTTGCCCCCTCTCTTCTATCCTTACTGCCATCACACCTTTTCACGGTCCTCTGATCTATAATCAAAGTAGTCTAATACTGTACATCTCTGTACAGTTGCCCTTTGCTTCCAATACATCGACCTCCGAGGTCCAAATTCATCTCCCTGAAACACTGGTTACATTAGAGTGCCTCCTACCAAGGTTTTTTGTTGCCTCCCAATTACCCAGGGCAGTGGTTCTCAACTAGGGGCCATTTTGCTCCCACCCCCCATCCTTGCACACATTTCACAATATCTGGAGACATTTCTGGTTCTCAAAAGTGGGGGAGAGGGGTGCTATTGTTGCTGGGATGCTGCTAAATATCATACAATGCACAAGACAGTTCCCTAAAATGAAACATTGTTGCCCAAAATGTCAATAACACTAAGGTTGAGAAACCCTGACCCAGGGCATTAAGTCCAAGTTACTTAAGACTCAACATACGTTTTCAGCCTTAACCCTCATAATTGTTCTTCACAAGGCCAAAACTGGTATTTTCACTGCTCCTTAAATAAATATATATGTATTATACGCATTCCTACATTTGTGCCTTTGTTTACAGTTTAGCCAAATCTTAGCCTCTCTTCCAAGTCAATTTCAAACCCCGCTCAGTGAAGTCTTACTCATTCAAACAAAGTTGTACTGAATGAGCTGCCAACGTGTCAAGCGCATCAAAGAGACGTGGTTCCTACCATCAAGCAGTTTACAGTGAGGAAAAAGGCACAGGACAAAATCAAACATCAGTAAAGGGTACGACAGTGTTATGTACAAAATGGCCAAAGGAAGAAGCAACTAAGTCTGCAAGTGAGTAGGAGACGTCAGATAAGGCTTTGGAGAGAAGGTTAAAGGATAGGTAGGATAATGCCAGGTAGAAAAGAAAGATGGGCATTCCACACAGACTTGATCTCTCTGCTGCCAGTATTGCTCTGCTATAATTCATTCTCAACACAGCAGCCAGAGTGTTCTTTTTTTTTTTTAAATGTAAATTGGATAATGCCATTTTCACCTTGTTAAAAGCCAAATGAAACAAACCAACAACAAAAAACTGTCAAGGGCTTCCCAGGCCTACATGTACCCTGTCTACCTCTCCAAACTCACCTCATGCCATTTCCCACCCCCCACTGTGCTCTAGCTACATGGTCTTTTTTTCTGACCTTCAAACCTATCATGTTTATTACCATCTCAAGGTGTTTGCACCTGCTGCAATCCCGTTATCCTTTCACGCAGCTTTATCACCTGTGGCTGTCTTCCTCTCATCACTTTCTTTTCAGCTTAAAATGCCATCTCCTCACACAGGCCTTCCGTGACACCTCTATCTAGAATGCACCCCCCGTCGTGTTAGAGCCCATTAGCCTGTTGTATTTTCTTCACAGCACTCAGCTCTATCTAAAATTACCTATTTATTATCTGTCTACCACAGCAAGAGAAGATACGTTGTCTAAATTTTCCCCCATTATATTCCCAGCACCCAGAACAATGTCTAGCCTATAGCAGGTGCTGAAAATAAACATTTGGTGAATGACTGAATAAATTAATAAAATAAGGAACCAAGCCATAAAAGACAGACAGGAACCCTCTCGCCTACAGTGGTTCCTCAGTTCACCAAGCCCTTAGCACTTCTAGTCTATATCACACATTTGACTTTTAATCATATATTGCTTTGGAAAATCGTTTGTATTGTGCTTATGTTTCCATTTAACTTATGTGTGTCCTGTCTCTCCCATTAGGTTGTAAGATCCCTGTGGACAACGACCCTAAGATAGCCTTCTCCTCAGGAATATAAGAAAATAGTAAATACATAATAAGAACTCAACAAATAGATATTAAATTAACTGATGAAACAATGTCATTTATACGGACAATAGATAACAAGGTTTGGGTAGAAAGAACATAGGATTAGGAGCCAAGAGACACATGTCACAGGCTCAGCTCAGCTCTGCTACTAACCAGCTGAATGACCACAGGCAAGTCATGTTTCCTTGGGCTTCAGTTTCCTCTTCTGTAAAGATCTCTAGAATCCCTTACACAGCACTAATATTCCATACAAGAGCTTGACTATTTCTGTAACCATTATGGCATTTCACTCTCTGCCACTAGAGGGCAAGCGTAGGTCATACAACTATCAGAAATTGCACAGCCTTAAAACGCAAATATGAGTAATTTTTTTTGTTTTAGGAATATCAGTATATGAAAATGATGTTCTGTTCTATTCCACTCTGTTAAAACTTTTACAAAGCTTCCCATTGGAAGTAAAAGCCAAGGAACTTAATAGAAAGAGCATTCACACGTACAGCTGAAGTCTCCTAGACATCACTGGGGAAAGGATTTGAAAGTTAGATGGTCATTATACTTACAATTAATGGTAAATGGTCTCGGGGAACATCTAGCTCAATTGGTATAACATAGTTTATAAAGAAAATGTCCTACATTCTACTTTGGTGAGTAGCGTCTGGGGTCTTAAAAGCTTGTGAGGGGCCATCTAAGATACTCCACTGGTCTCACCCCGTTGGGAGCAAGGAAGAATGAAGAAAACCAAAGACACAAGGGAAAGATTAGTCCGAAGGACTAACAAACCACAACTACCACAACCTCCACCAGACAGCACCACTAGATGGTGCCTGGCTACCACCACTGACTGCTCTGACAGGGATCACAACAGAGGGCCCCAGATAGAGCTAGAGAAAAATGTAGAACAAAATTCAAATTCTCAAAAAAAAAAAAAAAAATCAGACTTACTGATCTGACAGAGACTGGAGAAGCCCCTAGAGTATGGCCCCCAGACACTCTTTTAACTCAGTAATGAAGTCACCCCTGAGGTTCACCCTTCAGCCAAAGATTTGACAGGTTCATAAAATAAAACGAGACTAAAGGGACATACCAGCCCAGGACTAAAGAGGCACACCAGCCCAGGACTAAACGGGCACACCAGCCCAGGGGCAAGGACTAGAAAGCAGGAGGGGACAGGAAAGCTGGTAACAGGAAACCCACGGTCAAGAAGGGGAGAGTGTTGACATATGCAGTTGTTAACCAATGTCACAGAACAATATATGTACTGTTTAATGAGAAGCTAGTTTGTTCTGTAAACCTTCATCTAAAGTACAATAATAAAAAAAAATTAATCGTAATTAAAGGAGCCCTCATGGCTCAATGGTTGAGCACTGGGCTGCTAAATGAAAGGCTGGCAGTTTGAACCACTCAGCTCTGTGGGAGAAAGACCTGGCCATCTGTTCCCGTAAAGATTTATCCCTAGAAAACCCTATGGAAAAGTTCTACTCTGTCACATGAGCTTGCTATGAGTCGAAATGGACTTGACGGCGCACAACAACAACGGTAGTTGAGAATAATAGCTGCCGTTTACTGACTGACTCCCTGCTTTCTCCCTTGCCTTCCAACCATATATTTCTGTATGGTAGGCAGAATGATACTTTTAGAACCAAAGTCAGATCACATCACTCCTCTGTTCAGAGCCCTGCAAGGCTTCCATCTCACTTGGGGTACAATTCAAATTCCCTACCATAGCTTATGAGGCCCTACTCAACTAACTCTCCAACATAATACCCTACCACTCTGTGCTCCCGTCATACTGGAATTCTTTGCTTTTCCTTGAATGCACCAAGCAAGCTCCTCTAGGCTTTTGTATTGGCTGTGCTTGCTGTCCCCAGCTCTTCCCCAAGAAATCTACCTTATTTCTTTTAAGGCCTCTTCTCAATCATCTTATCAGAGGGGCTTCTCCGTCTATTTTATCTAAATAAGGGACCCCTCTTATCACTCCCTATTCCCTCTAACTCTGTTTTTCCTTCATTGCATTTATTATCTCTTGACCTATCATATTTCTTCATCTATTTGTTTACTGTTCCTCTGCCCCCACAAGAAAGTAAGCTCCTTGACAAGAGGGATGTTATTTGTTTTTTCCCTTATACTCCCAATGCTTAGAACAATTCCTGGCCCATAGAGACACTCAATAAATAAGGGTTGAATTAATGAATAATTACAATATGGTGAATACCCTATCACATTTAATCCTCCCAACCACCCTATAAGATGAGTATTGTTGTTATCCCCCATTTGACAGATTAGAAAAATAAAGGATTGGAGAAGGTACATAACCTGGCCAAACTCAATCAGAGAGCTAGTAGTTGACATATCTGGGACAGAAACTCAATCTATGATTCCAGAACACATACAGTTTATCTAAGGTCATACTACCTTTCTGAAAGAAATGACCAAGTAATAGTATATGTCTAAAGGGAAATGTTGTAAAGGCTTCCTTCAAAATCAAAATTCCTCAGATGTGCCATAGCTAACGTTCTAAAAGAACAATCAACGGAAGAGAGCTGCCATCAGCTAAGTCCTCTGATGTGCACTTCAGTCTTAGCACACACGGAATAAATGTAGTCTTAGATCCTCTGTAACCCGTTATCACTGAGTCGATTCAGACTCCTAGCAACCCTGTAGGACAGGGTAGAACTGCCCCACAAGGTTTCCGAGTCTGTGATCTTTATGGAAGCAGACTGCCACATCTTTCTCCCGTGGAACAGCTGGTGGGTTCGAACCACTGACCTTTAAGTTAGCAGCTAAATGGTTAACCAGTGTGCCACCAGGGTTCCTTAGATTCTCTATACAGTTGATAAAATATGGTATTCCTTAAGACTCTCCCCTATGCAACATGCAGAAAATATGTTTCTTTTTCTCTTTAGCGGACCCTTTTGATAATCTCTCACTCATGGACACAGGAGCCTTTTCACAGTTTATTTCAAGCAGAAGTGATTCTGTTTCTCCTGACCCTTTCCCCACTGCATACTGTACCTTTACTGGGCAGTTAGCAGGAAAAGAAAAGACCTGAAAAATCAATTTATGGAACTGAAATAAACATTTTCATGAGATTTTTAAAAATATGTCAAATTCTGGCTAAAACATTTTCTTCCTAATGTAGCAACTCTGCTGTCTGCTTCTAAACAGCCAGTGGATGGAAAAATACATAATAGAAAATGCTCTCTTACGGATACACAGCCAAAAGTATTTTACAGAGTTAGTTTGATATTTTTTCCACATCAAAATGTGCCAACAGAAACTCATGAAAAGCAAACCTTTTGCAGAAAGCTTCTGCTCGTTTACCTTTAAATATTTAATGAGCTCCCCTGGAACTTCTTTAGAGCCTGACTGAATCAGCTGGCAATGACGGAAGAATTTGTGCACATGCAGATCCTGGAACACAGATGGAAACAGCCATAGGAAATTTGCTTCATTACCCACAAATGCAGGCTCTCCTCCTCCCACATCTTGCAAACCTATCTTTCTAGGTATTCCAAAGCCCATACTCGGCAGCAGTAGCTACCAACATATGTGTCCATCTTGCAAAGTCTTCTTGATCACCACATAAAGCAGCAAACCAGGTCAATTTGGCATGGACATTAGCACAACAGGCAGGCTACACTTTATGCCCAAGAAATCAAGCATTCATTTAATTCGTTTTTTGACGAGTATATTCTATGAAGTGGGGCTCCTTCTGTATCTTAACGAGATGAGCAAGAACAGAAGTCTAATGGACAGGTGAAGAAAAAGGACTAGGAGGGAGTTAGTTACCAGAACAATAGTCTCAGGCATTCAATGCCCACCCAGTTTTATCACAGCCGTTCACTGGTGAGTCCAACTATTCTATACAAAATCTATATACACTGATTATCTGGAAAGCATGGACTGTATCAGGAACTGGAATAGTGAAATATGGCTTTTGACCTGGTTCCCTCTATTATCTGTGTGATCTTGGGGAAGTCACCTAGCCTGCCTGAGCCTCAGTTTTTTCATCTATAGAATAGTGATAAACAGCCCCACATCCCTTTCAGAGTTTTGTGAGCCTCATCAGATAATGGGTATACAAAGGATTTTGTAATTTGAAAATAAAATTTAAGGTATTATTCTTATTAACAATATTATTACTAATTAGAAATAACAGGCCACAACTTTTCTAAGGCTGTAGGAATCGACTATAGTCTACCTTAATCAAGAAATATACTTGAGTATTAAAGTTGGAAAATTCAGATGACTCAACTTACTTGAGTGTAAACCGTAGACTCTAAGTGGCTTTTAACTTTTAACAAAGGCTTTGCACCATCTACCCACTTAATATCCACACTGGATTGCTGTGAACAGAAAATATAGACATGAGTTTCTATAATATAGCAATGGATAGATGAACAACATATTAACACCCTTATGCATTTCAACATTTTTTCCAGAAATAAATGTGCTAGTTTCATACGAAGAAATTGTTGGAGAAAATAACCTGCATTTAGAATAAATGTATCCTAAATCATTTTTAATTTCCAATCCTTTGCCTACCAATACCTTCATAAATTACAATAAAAATAGATTAGTAAATACGTGAATCAAAAAACAATTACACACAAAATCTGAGTCCCAATTTTTTTAGAAAAGTATTATTATAATCAACAGACTAAAATTACATGGTCAAACTGTTATAAACGTTTCTAAACACTCTTATCTTCTATACTTATCTTCGTTGTGGACCAGAACTAGTCCTCAGATCACACTTTCAGTAGAACTATCCCCAACTGAAGAGCCCTCTTGGCACAATGGCTAAGCGCTCGGCCGCAAATCAAAAAAGGTCAGTGGTTCAAACCCACCAGCCACTCCATGGGAGAAAAGGCCTGGCAATCTGCTCCCATTAAACCCTATGGGGCAGTTCTACTTTGCCCTATAGGGTCCCTAAGAGTCAGAATCAACTCAATGGCATACAACAACAATATTCTCTGCAATTATCAACTCGATGAACACAATTCCATTTTTTAACATTTAATCATGACTACTCCAACAAATGCAGATATTTTCCTACCCTTCTTGATTCTGCATCATTCAGATTCAAGTAGCCTGGGGGAAGATTGGCTGAAACTGGCAGCTGCTGCTCAAATGTGATGATTCTACCATCCTTCAGCAAAGGTACCCAGGCAAACCCAACTGCCAAGACAATAATCAACCATGAAAAATGAAATAAGTTCAATTAGCTACACAAATGCCTGACTACTGGGGAGTAGGGCAGGGTGGTGATATTCCCAGTACTGGGGAAGGAACAATGGGTTTGGATTGCTTCCTAATTGCAGCCTGGCCACTAAGAAGTTATTCACTCTATTTCCTTGACTATAAAAATAGGAATAACAATACATAGTTAGTCCATCTAATAGACTTAATGAGAGACCAAAGTTAGTTAATATATGAAAACACTTTAAAATTTTTAAAAGTCCATCAATATCATTATCCTTACACTTGGAGAGCTATTTTAAGTAGACTACTTTTTTTTTTTTAAAGGTTCGGTAGTCTCTCATCCATCCTTACACTAAGGGTACAGAGTCTCATATCTGAGACTATCTCAGATAGCAATCACTATGTTCCTGAACTTCTTATGGCAACCCTTGGGGAAGGAGGTATGGAAAATTAAGATCCTAAGTCAAGGTTACATTCTAGATTTATCAAGGCAGTAGGCACCAATGATTTAGTTGGGCAGTTTTCCTGATTACAGAAGGAAGAGGTGTAGTAGGAGAACGAAGCCAGAGTATTCTCTTTATATGACTTTAATCCACTGAGGCCTTTTTCCCAATCTCTCCATTTCTTAACAGTTCTACCCAAAAGAGCCTCTTGGTTGTCTACTAGAAAACTCATCATGTTCTAGCAAAAAAGCCAGAGCCATCTGTGTTGCTCAAGTTGAGTGGTGTCACTATTTCCATTATACAGATTACTCTGGGTTTCAAGTGTTTATAACTCAGCTGTAAAAAAGCCTGCTCTGGACTGAGTTTTGGCACATGCGAGGGGGTGCTTGCTGGCTGGAGAGCACTTTGTAGAGCCACTGCTTTCTGATTCCTTCAAATTCTTTACGTGAGCGTGTGTGAGCCCATGTGTTTATACTGTGAACACAGAAGTCAACACAAATCTGGTTAGAATGTTTTCATTCACATGTTTAATTTGGCAAATCCTTTAATTCTTAAAAGAAGATTAAAATGTTGCATTCTCTTAAGTAGACTAAATGGCTTTCTCAGACTCCGGCGCATGCCTGAAGGGCATCTTCACTAGTACAACTTCAGAAATGGTTTACCCAGACATTTGCTTTTATAAAAAGCAAAGGAAAGTAACTTGGGCGGAAGAACCATTCAAGACGACTCTGTCAGAGTAGCTGAACTGAAAATTTGACAAACGAGAAAAGGTTTCCAGCCCAGAAAATAGGAACATGTTCTTAAGACATTTTTTTCTCATACAATTTTGTAGTGAGATGTAATTCACTTACAAGACAATTCACCCATTTAAACTGTACACTTTAGTGGCTTTTGATGTGTTCACAGAGCTGTGCACCCATCACCGCTATCTAATTCCGGAACCTTTTCATCACCCCTTCCCCCAACAAAAAAAAACCCGAATCTGCTAAGTTACTTCCCATTCCCTCTTTCCCCCAGGCCCCTGGCAACCACTAATATGGAATTGTTTAGGCAACATTTTTGCACTGTAAATTAATCAGAGCATGGCCAAGTGTGTCCCTTAGTGAAAACTCACCTAGAGCTCTTGGAAGCTGTACAGGTACAATGTCAAGCACACCATCTGGCGCAAAGGTGTGAAGCCACTTCAAGGACGGACAGTTAAAAGTGATTAGTGGCACACAGAATAACCACCTCGTGCTCCAAGGAGCATCTTGCGACTTCTGTCTAGGATTTGGATCAGGAAACGTGGTGTTTCCTTCAGTCTTTTCTTGCTCTAACGCACTTGACTCATAATAATAAGGTTGGCCTGATTAATGTTCCTTCAAAGTAGCTCTTACTGGAGTTTATAACACTTCAGTAGTTTCCTATTGCTGACAGAATCAAATAAAATCCAGCCTGGCATTCAAGGCTTTCCACAGTCTGACTCCTCTTTTTCAATCTGACTTCCCATGATTCCTCTTCAAGCACTCTGTGCTCCAGTTGTACTTAACTCTTTGAGGTTTCTTGTACATATCCCTCAATACTCTGCCTTTGTTCAAGTGTCTTCATCCCGGAGTCCCCTACTTTCCTGCCATTATTGCATTATCAAACTCTAACCCACCCTTCAAGGCCTAGCTCAAACATCATCTCCTCCTGGAAGCCTTCCCCAATTCCCGACCACTCTTCCCTTCACCAGCTGAAGTACTAATTTGCTCTTTTCTGAATTCACATACCACCACCTGCTTGGGAACTACCTAACCCTATAGCTAACTCTAACTTTCTACCTATCAAAACCATAGCCTGTATTACAGTTATTTAGGTAGGACTCATTTCTCCTATTAGATCATATGCTCCTAAAGGGGAGATCTGGGTTTCATTTGCCTCTGTATTCTCCAGAGTACCTACTACAATGTCTTGCACATAATAAATATGTAGAAATATTTTCTGAATGAATGAACGAATCCAAGATTGATCCAGGCTAGCCTGGATCTGAATCCCAGGGCATGCTGATGTTTCTATACTGGGTGTGGGGCACCAGTCATGTTCACAGGGCCGTCTATGTTCTCCTGTGGATGCTTCCCACCTCAGTTTATCTAAAGCCTTGCTATGTGGGACCATGACTGTTGCTTCATTACTAAAGCTTATTCAAGTTTGTTAAATCTGTTCTTTTCTCATCAGAACCACACAGCACCCAACTTCCCTCAGGCTTACAGATATCCCCGGCTCTGGGCTCACTTCCCTTTTCCTCAATGAGCAAAACTGGAAAATTCTAGTTGCTGGGCCATTTGACATAAAAGAAATAATAAAAATGTTGCATCGCACTGTGTTTCTCCCTGAGAATGGCAACAGTACTTTACGTTGCTTATAGTAGTCTAAGCACGCTGGCAAGCATCTGGACAGTGCTATTTGGTAGAGATGATGATAAAATGAACATGGAATTCATCTTTCAACAATGAACTTTTTAACTCAGAAGCGCACTTTCTGGTGAGAGGGAGAAGTGGTCTGGAGCTGGATGAAAACAGGGTATATCCTAGACAATTCCATTTCAAGTAACTGTAGAGAGAGGCATTGAAATAGCACTCGTACCTGGAGTTTCAGCCGTTTCCTGCTTTTTGGTTGATCCCTTTGTGTTAATTTCACAACTTACATGATAGAAAGTGAAAAGCAAATGATGCTTCTGATGAAGGTGAATAGGAAGCTCAATCTTAACCTGAAATGACAGGAAAATTATACCTGGGATTTTGCTTTGTTTAAATTGACAAGCTGGACTGTTCAGACATTTCGTTCTGTTTCATGATACTTTTCCCAAAAAACTTCCTAAATGGTAGGCCAAGTGACCAAATAACAGATAGCATTTAAATACATTCCAAATGCTCCTCTGGTCAGCGTCAGTTTGACAGTAATTTTCTCTCCTGGGTTGTGAGGGCTAATTTATAACTTTTGGCCAGAGAGCACAACAGATTCGAGTGGTTTCAACATTGCAGCAGGAGTTTCTAAAACACTGGACCAAAACCACATCCTCACAGCCCAGGGATACTGTGTAACTCAATCTGAGTCCAGCAATGCCAACCTATTTAAAAAGGGCACTGGATTCAAAAGACTACATTTTTCTAAATTATTGTTCTTTTTGCAGGAAAAAAATTAAATCTTTACAAATAAATGTGCAAAAAAGAAGTCAATATGGTATTATGGTGTCCACAAATGACAGCCCATATAGATTTTTTTTCTAGAAGAAAAGAACTTTACTCTTGAGTAAAGAGATAAAAACTGTCACTCATGACATGTGAATTTAATCCTAAAAATCAATGCTTGTATTAAGGTATCTCAAGTGATTTTCTCATCAGAACCTAAACAGATGTTTGGAATACCTGTTGGAAGTATGTAAAAGACAAAATCACAGATATTGATGGTAATACACATGCATGTGCACACAAGTACATGCAAATACACACATACACACTCTGTCTTTCTATTCTGGTCAATATACAGTAAAGAATTGAAAAGCCTGTTCTTTCCAATCCTAAAAACAATGTGGATTACTGACTACATGCTTAAGTTTACTGTAGTGACTGGTGTTGGTTATAGAGATGGACAAATTAAACCACTTGGTGATGGACATCTGGCCTAATTATCATTCACACAAGGCATGGTTTTGGTGTTATAACTAACCTCTGCGGTAGGTATACATTCCTCACAGAACATGCCTATTCACAGCATCCAGACCATCTGGGTATCTAATGCTCTGCTGCACATAAATATGGGCATACTCCCTCCCTGGGTGGCAAAAATGGAAGGTACCACAATGCCCCCTCCTGAAACTAGGGATACACTGGATTAAGAAAGGAATGCATGAGGCCTAAGGCTGGGGTGTAAGGCCTTCATATGACAGCAGGTGGCCTTGAGAAATCATGACAGCAGAGGGAATGGTTTCAGACAAAGCCAGGAATTGAGATGTGAGGTCTGAGAGCAGAATCAGCAGAGCATCTGGCCTGGGATGTACTTTCAGGTTCCATGGAGGCATGAAGACATTGAAAGAAGTCTACAGATTTGGAAAAGCCAGAGACAGATGAGAAATGGCTGTGCCAGAGACACCAAGAGACACACAGAAGCACACAGTGACGTAGAGATAGAGAAGCAGGAAGAAAGAAAGAGAGGCACAAACAGGCCAAACTGACAGACACAGAAGGCAGCAGACTCAGGACAGGAGGTGCAGAGACTAGAAACCGCCCTACCCCCTTTCATCTACTTTGTGCTGAGGGTTTTAGTGCAATCAGCAGAATTCTGATGGCCTAGCTATCTCACTGCATCCCTTGAAGCATTTCAATTACAGAAAAGCTGCTTCCTGCCACACAGGACCACAGGGAGAAAGAGCCAGAAGGGCCTTCAGAATACATCTTCTGAATTTCTTATCTTAAAGCTGAGGAAATGGAGACTCAGAAAGGGGAAGTGACTTGTTCAGGCCACAGGGCCAGTTGTTGTCAAAGTTAGGACTAGAATCCTAGTTTCAGTCTGGTGTTCGTTTCCTACATTGAGCTGGGCTGCTAAACAAAAGGTTGGCAGTTCGAATCCACCAGGCGCTCCTTGGAAACTCTACAGGGTCGCTATGAGTTGGAATCGACTGGATGGCAATGGGTATTTGTTTTTTTTTTAAAATAATATCTCAACTCAGAGTCCCTAAAACTTGGGGGTAAATCTTCCACTGTCATCAAAGCGCACCAAGGAGGCAGTGGCCCTTTACTTTGATGTGACATTTTGTTTTCATAATACAAAACATTCAGGGGTTTAAACTGCAGATAAAATGATGGCAATGATTTGAAGAGAAAAAGAACCACCACCACTGCATTTGATAAATGTCAGAAAAATGTGTTTTTACCTCATCGTAGAACTCTGGATTTTGGCTGTGATGCGAGACAACAGCATATGCCTTTGTGGTAAACACAGATTCTGCAGGTTTTCCATAAATGCACTGCAAAAGAGGGAGACAGAGACACCGCTCTAAACGCACATCGTTAAGTGTGAGGATATGGAACCACATACAGATAGAGGCATCTGTGAGGACAAGGCGACAGCCAAGCCCAGCTGGTTCTCACCAGGAGCCCGTAAATTCAGGATCATTTACAGTCACTCCAAAAGCCACTCCACAGAATGCCTAACTTCACACTGTGGATGCTTTTGAATCGAAGCCATGCAATGCCATCAAAGACATGCAATTCCAAATTAGTTGACAGGAAGAAGCTGAACATTTCTAATCATTTGGAAGAAAGACACTGTCAATACCAGACCTGTGAAGCTTACTTCTTTCATGCTATTTGCATTTCTTAATTTAAGAGGGAATTTCCTTCTCTCCCAGCCACTCAGCAACATTTGCTGAATGCTCACTGAGCAGTGGGCAAGATGAGAAGCTAAAAACAACAACAACAGATAGAAGACATAGTCATTAAAAAAACAAAACCACAAGTTGCTTGGAGTCTATTCCGACTCACAGTGACCCCATTTGTTACAGAGGAGAACGACTCCATAGGATTTTCTTGGCTGTGAACTTTACAGAGGGTTCCTAGGTGGTGTGAATGGTTTGCACTTGACCACTAACCTAAAAGTTAGCAGTCTGGACCCACCCAGCTGCACCCTGGAAGAGAGGCCTGGTGATCTGCTTCCATAAAGATTACAACCAAGAAAACCCTATGGAGCAGTTCTACTCTGTAACACATGGGGTCACCATGAGTTGGAATCAACCTGACAGCAACGGGGTTTAAATATTTATGGAAACAGATTGCCAGGCCTTTCTTCTGTGGCACCGCTAGGATGAGTTCAAATCTCCAACCTTTAGTTTAGTAGCTGAGAGCAAACCATTTGTGCCACGAAGGGACCTTAGACACATCCCTAGCCTAGGAATTAAAAAATTAAAAATTGAATGTCTACTCAGCTCCAGACTGTTCTCTCACTCTATGAGCCACATTAAAAAAAAAAAAAATCACTGGCTTTCTGTTATACCAATATAATAAATGCAGTGCTTTCTATGTGAGTTTTTCACTCGCATAGGCCTAGTAAGCTCAAGGATGAATATGGAGTCAGTACATGAAGGTACTAATTGCCTCATTCTGTTACTTTAGAGCAAGCCTCTTTGGCCAGCTAGGAAATGAAATTGAGACCCCATATGAGTGCATATCCAACTCTCCTGAAATATGGTTATGAATGCAATTTGCAGGAATTGCTGAGAGGTAACCTAAGAATCTTTAAGTATACAAAAGGATATTGCATGGAGCAAAAGAACCAGTTGTTCTCATCTCCACTGAAAGACGAACCAGAGAAAATGCACTTAATTTGAGCTAGCTAATCCTTAATTTAACTTAAGTTTCTCTGTGGAAAAAAATCTTTCAAAGGAAAGGGCTATTAAACATTGGACGACTTGAGTCGGGGGCATTCTAGTCTCTTTCCCTCGGTGGTTTGAATGTCAGATTAGTCATCTATCAGTCTGATTTAGGCTCAATCTAGAGAACGGGGGAGCCAGATAAACAGTTTGTGATGGCTACATGTTCTCTGAATTCTCTTTCAGGCCTCTGACTAATTGGCTACACAGCAAAAGTAAAAAACCAGCTATAAAGAGTAAAAATGTAAAGGCACTATGAAGTGACTACTATTTAAGGATCGCCATCTCAGATAATTCTGCGATTATGCTTTTCACAGACCACTAATCCAAGCTGGGAGGCACCACAGAGGAGAAGTCGTATCGCAGATCAAACCAGTCCTGCTCTGCTTCTGTCAGCTCAAAGCCTGTTCAGGTTTCAAGGAGGAAGAGTTCACAGTCCCCTGATGGTACCAGTATAAACTATCAGGTCATAAGAGAAAATGACCTTGTGACTGGGCATCACAGCAATGCAAAATCAAAGTGGAGCAAAACCGAAAATCGGATACTTCAATGAAGCCTACCCACTTTTAAAGCTATAGCTGCTCCCATCTCACTTTATTAATTATTATTTAACTGAACCCTCACTTTATTATTTATTATTTAACTGAACCCTATGTTATAGTTAATGTGTAAGAGAAGACAAAGAAAATATTACATTTGTGACTCTAGTACACTTTATTCTTCATGTTTAAACAAATTAAACTTACAGGATAAGACTACCAAGCACCAAAATCTCCACATCTACAAAAAATATAGGCTTATGAATAACACAAACCTTTAAAGCGCTAGCATCACTTTCGTCTGAATCCCGGAATTCCACACAGACAGCAATGTTCCTCGCCTAAAATGATTAATCATTCAGGATGAGTCACAAAATTAAAAGATTATGATTAACATTTTATGCTCCCAAGATGTATACTTTACACTATTTACCTTGGCAAATGTTTTCTGGCTATCGTATTTTAATTGCAAGGGATATACATACAGATGGTTTCTGTAAACAGTAAATGGGTAACAATATTTTGTCATTTCCGGAACAAACTCTTCAACTTCCACGGTAATATTTTGACAATTCTTTTCGAAAGGCTTCAGGGGCACGTATGAAGAACTAATACAATCTACAGTAGGAAAAAAAAAAAACAGGCATAAGACAATACAATTTAGTAATCACTAACGCATTTCTGTTTTTATAAAAATATACTATGACCAAATGGATTATGTTCTTTGAAAGAGTGATTTAAAAAAGCAGCATTTGTAGTGACAAAAAGTCATACAACCACTTTAAGAATCTAAAAGGACAAGAGAGTAGCCTGATTCAGTTTTTAGTGGAAACCTTGAAACCAGACAGAGATTGTTATTTCATTCCCAATGTCAACTGGAGTGATTTGCAAATGTACTACATCATAATTTTGACAAATTCAAACTCTGCAGAGAAATCCATTACATTTTTCCTCCTGTGCCTGCAATTTAGCTATCACTGCAAATTTTTATTGATCTCAGGGAAATAACAGTAAATTTAGGACTCCAATTAGTTCATGGTGGCTTGCTTTATAAAAGTTAACTGGGTGCAGGTGCAAAGTTTCACCTAAGAAATAATAGAAGGCTTTTGAAATGACAGATTTTAAGATGTGTTACCAATAATAAATTTGATATTCCAGAAGGTGAAAAATCCAAAGCCCCAGAGAAGTTGAGCAGCTTGTGTTACAGAAGTAGCCACTGTGATCAAGGTTATTCATATACTAAGGAGCCCTGGTGGTGCAGTGGTTAAGAGCTCGGCTGCTAACCAAAAGGTCAGCGGTTCAAATCTACCAGCTGCTCCTTGGAAACTCTGTGGGGCAGTTCTACTCTGTCCTATAGGGTCGCTATGAGTCGGAACTGACTCAAGGGCACCTACCAACAACAACAAGGGGCTCTAAGACTGCTGCAGGGTATTAATACAGAAGGGAGACCCAGGGAGAGTTGAACCTAAGCACCCAGTATTTTTTTGTTGGGTTTTTCTCTGATGATACAGATACATACTTAAATAGAAAATCTGGAGGTATAAAGGTGTCCAAAAATAACTGATCATTCACTACCCGGAGATAAATACTTGTTAACTAGTCTTTTTAAAAATAATTTATTATTTTATTTTTGTTGTTGAGAATACACACAGCAGAACATACAGCAATTCAATGGTTCTTCATGTGCAATTCAGTGACACTGATTACATTCTTCAAGTTATGCAGCCATTCTCACCCTCCTTTTCTGAGCTGTTCCTCCCCCATTAATATAAATTCATTGTACCCTAAGTTTCCTGAATTTCCTATCTAATCTTTCAGGTTGGTGTTGTTGGTTTGATCCCATATAGGTAGATCTTAAACGAACACAATGCTCAAGGCATATATTCTTTACTACCTAAGCTAAACTACTGCTTTAAGAAGACTTCAGGAGATGTTTTTGGTTTAAGGTTTAAGGATTATCTCACGGCAATGGTTTCCGGGGTTCATCCATCCTCAATGGCTACAAAAATTCTGCATTCCATGAGAATTTGAAATTCTGTTCTGCATCTTCCCCAGCCCCCATCAGGATTCCTCTATAGAATCTTTGATCAAAATGTTCCATAATGGTAGCCAGGCACCATCCAGTTCTTCTGGTATCATGGCAAAGGAGGCAGTTGTTCACGGAGGCAATTAGCCACACATTCCATATCCTCCTATTCCTGACTCTTCTTCTTCCTCTGTCTTGGAAGAAGTACAGCCAGAATGCTCCTTAGAAGCAAGGATGGCAAGACTACGTGTCTTACATACTTTGGACATGTTATCAAGAGGGACCAGACCCTGGAGAAGGACATCATGCTTGGTAAAGTAGAAGGTAACTGAAAAAGAGGAAGACCCTCAACGAGATGGATTGACACAGCGGCTGCAACAATAGGATCAAGCATAACAATGATCGTGAGGTTGGCACAGGACCAGGCAGTGTTTCCTTCTGTTGTACATAAGGTGGTTACGAGTCAGAAGCAACTCAATGGCACCTAACAATGACAATTGTTTGGTTTAAAGAACACTTCAGGGGATATTTTTGGTTTAAGGTTTAAAGATTATTTCAGGGAAATAGTTTCAGGGGTTCATCCAGCTTCAGTGACTTCAGAAAGTCTAGAGACCATGGTAATTTGAGATTCTGTTCTGCATTTTCCCCTTTTTGATCAGGATTCTTCTATAGAACCTTTGATCAAAATGTTCAGTAATGGTAGCTGGGCACCATCCAGCTCTTCTGCTCTCATGGCAAACGAGGCAATTTTCATTGAGACAATCAGCCACACATTCCATTTCCTCCTTCCATTCCTGACTCTTCTTCTTCCTCTGTTGCTCCAGGTAAATAAGAGACCCATTGTGGTGCCCTGGATGGCCGCTTGCAAGCTCTTAAGACCCCGAGCACTACACAAAAAACTAGGAGGTAGAACAGAAGCACTAAACACGTTACTAGGCCAATTAATTGGGATGTCTCATGAAACCATGTCCCTAAACGTCCAAACCAAGAAACCAAATCCCACGAGGTGTTTGGTTGTACATAAGCAGCCACAGCAGCTAACCCCCTTTTTTGTCATTGTTGTAAATCTATCACACACCTTTGCCTATTCAACTTCTCATAGGTGTATAACTTATTGAAAGCAATTACATTAATCATATTCTAGTCTTTTTGCACATTTTACATAGTAATAAAAGAGAAATCCTACTGGACATAGAACTTAATCCTGATTCTTCTGACATTTTTATCTAACATCTTATTCCATGAACTCCGTAAACAACAGTTTTAATGGCTGCCAGAAAGTTTCATGGTATCCGTGTACCATAATTGGCTTGGAGTCCCTGGGTGATACAAATGGTTAACATGCTTGGCTGCTAACCAAAAAGGTTGGTGGCTCAAATCCACACAGAGCTACCTTGGAAAAAAGTCCTGGCAATCTACTTCCAAAAAATCAGCCATTGAAAGCCCTATGGAGCACAGTTCTACTCTGACACACATGGGGTGACCATGAAACAGAACTGACTCGATGGCAACTGGTACTGGGTAACTGGCTTAACCAGACTGACGGTGTTGAACTCTGTGGTTGTTTTCAAGGTTTTCACAATATAAATAACATTTTAAGGAACATCTATAGGCATAAACTCCTATCCACATTTCAAGTTATTTCTTTAGGAAAAAAGAATCCAATCTACTCTTAGATGTTTTAAAATGTAAATTCAATGTCACTTCCCGGCTTACAATTCTTTAGGGGCTTATCATTGCACTTAAAATAAAATCCAGTCTTTAAGGAGTTACCATGATCTACACAAGGTCCTCCTTGGCCTGATCCTCCCTACTTCTCCTACCTCATCTCCCATCTCCATTGTTCCACTACCCACTACACTATACCCACACTGGCTTCCTTTTTGTTCAAACAAACCAAGCTTATTCCCACCTCAAGGTCTTTACATTTGTGATTTCTTCGGTCTGCAATGTACAATCCCAACCAACCTGTGCCAGCCAACTTCTCCCCTTCACATTCTGAGCTTAAGAGAAGCCTTCCCTGGACACCTTTTCTAAAGCAGCACACTCCTATCACAAGTAAAATTTACTCATTTATTTGCTTTCTTGTTTATTATCTGTCACTCCTTCTAGACTCTAAACTCAGTAAGTTTAAAGCACCTAGTAACTGCTCAGTGTTTAGTCAATAAATATTTATTCAGTTAATGAATGAACGGATAGATAAAATCCCAGAGTTGGAATGCCTTAGTTATGGACACCTATGGAAATCTACTGCCAAACTGTACTCCTACTCACATTATGTGATGGTACCTGGCCAAATCCCAGCCAGCATTAGATAGTGTCACTTTAAACATTTCTGTAAATATCATACATACACAAAAGCATCTAGCTGTTTTAATCTCATTACTGGGATTATTAAAGAGATTGAATTTATTTTTCAAATATTTACTAGTCACTACATTTTATTTCTCAAAAATTGTCTTTCAAATCTTCTGTCCCCTTTTCTCCCAGGATCTTAAGATTCTTGTCTGTAGAAATTCTCCTTTTTGATCCCTCAGTTGATGACAGAAATCTGCTGCTGTCAAGTCGATTCCAACTCATAGAAACCCTATTGGACAGAGTTTTCAAGGAGCGACTGGTGGATTCAAACCGCCGACCTTTTGGTTAGCAGCCGGGCTCTTAACCACTGCATCACCAGGGCTCCAACAGTGGTATAAACCCAAAAACCAAACCCGTTGCTGTCAAGTCGATTCTGACTCATAGCGACCGTATAGGACAGAGTAGAACTGCCCCATGGGGTTTCCAAAGAGTAGCTGGTGGATTCAAACTGCCGACCTTTTGGTTAGCGGCTGAGCTCTTAACCATTGAGCAAGCAGAATGACAGAAGCAGAAACTAAACCAAGACAAAAGGCAGCAGAAACTGATGGAGACACACCCACATCATCATATATTATATATGAAGCGGCATCTGATAAAATCAACTTAATCAAGTTACTTCTATCTCCATAAATATTCACCATGTAAATGTCAATGGAAATACTGAAAAGATAAAAACCTGAGAGTCAAACATAGCACTTAAGTTTTATTTCCAATATGCAAGTACTTACTTGATAAATCCACAGGAACACATTCTACCGTGATGTTTAGCTGCCCAGGAATAATCTGTAATTTCGTCTTCTCTGGCCTAGGTGTACAACAAGAATATTTTAGATTTTAAAATTATGACTACTAAACACATTGCTTACCCTAGGTCCAAACATAAAATTTTAAGTACTCGGTTTCTCCCGTATACGACTCACATTCATCACTTCAAGGAACTTACAATTCATCTATTATATTCATCTATCGCCGTAACGCCATATACTCACTTCTTGTATTCTGAGAGCAACTTGAGAATATCTTCATTAGAAAGCTTGCTACTGTCTTGTTTATACAAAGGAGAAAATTTCCCTTCCAGATCCAGAGAGCCTTGAGTATCTTTGAAAATGGGTCTAAAACAGGAACAGAAAGATCACTTTAAATTCTAAAGTACTGATAAACTAAAACAGGGTGTGTTTTGGTGGGAGTGTAAAATGATGAAACCACTTTGGAAAATGGTTTTGTAGTTTCTCATAAAGTTAAGTATACATCTACCCTACGACTCAGCAATTCCACTCTTAGGTCTTAACCCAAGAGAAATGAAAGTATATGCCCACAAAAAGACTAGTCCATGAATGTTCATATCAGATTTATTTGTTATAGTCCCAAACTGGTGATGACACGAATGTCTATCAACAAAGAAATGGATTAAAAAAAAAAATGGCATATTCCCAACGGGATGCTACTCAAAATGAACTACTAATACATACAATAACAAGGATGAATCTCAAAAACCTGTTGAGCAAAAGAAGTCAAACACAAAGAAAATATATACGGTATGTATCCATTTATATGAAGTTCCGGTATAGAGAAAAGTCATCTAGAGTGATAATCGGATCAGTGATTGCCTGGGGCAGGGCTGGGATGGCTAAATAGGCAAGGGTATGAGGAAACTTTCTGGGGTGATAAAAAGGTCCCAAATCGTGGTTGCGGTGGTGGTTATACAACTGTATACACTTGTGAAATTCATCAAACTGAACATTTCAAGTATGTGCATTTTATCAAATTTAAAGTATACCTCAAAGTTGAGAAAATTATATATTTAAGGAAATTGTACATGTAGACTTTCCCATATGAATTTGAATTATCCCCTCCCTCCCTCCCTTTCCTCTCCTCTCAGTTTTAAGTAGCTATTTTACTGCTAAAATGGGAGGTAATATACAAGCACCCAGCATACTAGAAAGGGCAACAGCCAGAAACACTTTTTCCTGGCAGAACCTCTGAAGATGGGGTTATAGACATTAGCCACTATGACTACTTCTAAGCATACCTCCTTGTATTTTCAGTAAACGGGTTTATCGTACATCTTTTAAATATCCCAGCCAAGCCTTTAGAGTAGGTTCCTGCTAATGCTAACAACCAAAACAATTCAGGGAAAAAAAAAAAAACAGCAAAATTCCTCATCAGAACTGGGGATCAAAGCCTCTGCTTTGAAGACTTTAGAATTAATTTATTTACAGATGATGTTTTAATAGCAGTTACTGCTATGACCAGAAAGGGAACACTATGGCAAAGTATTCTAGGGAGGGTCTGAAGTCAGGTGACATGGGTTTTGACTCCTGCTCGGCCACATACTGTGCGACCACTGGCAAGGATTATTTTAACTTGTGTGCCTGGATTTCCTCATCTCCAAGATGGGGATAATAGTGCCTACACCTTAAGAGAATACATATGAAGCCCTTGGACCAGTGCCTGGTACAGTGTTAGCACTTAATAACTGTTAATGATAACAGCAGCAATTGACTTTTCAGGCTGTGGCCATCAAAAAGCATGCTGACATTTACAAGTGGTACTTTAACTTTTAAAATGCCTAAATATACCAGCCTCCGTTATTTTTTGCCATTCACCTACCCTTGGCTATCTTTTTTACCAGTCTGCAAAACAAGGACAATGTGTCTTTTCATCTATCAACGTACAGTGCATTTTGAGACCTTCTAAAAATTGAAATGATTATAAATAGTGACAGACAGAGGAGTTAATTAACTTAGAATGTCCTACCCTTATGCTACTCACTAGCACCCACTGAACATAATTGATTGAATTATTCAGAACATGTTGCTCTTTCCCAAGAAGTTCCAATGAGCTGTACAGGCTGTACCTATAAACAAGCAGTGAACCTCTACTTCAAAGAGAGGCTAAGCAAGAAACATGTTCTAAGTCATCACTGTATATAGACTTCTAAGATTTGGTCAAAAAAATGTAATCTACCATAAAATATGATATAGACAGATAGATGGTAGACTGACTGACTGATAGACAGATAGCTAACACACACTTTCAAATATACCATCCCTGAAAGGTTCGCTGAATTTGTTCATCAGGAAGCAAGAAAATCTATTAATTAATTACACACTTGCAATTAATAACTGAATTCTTTGCCTTCTAATTTTAGTGCATTTTCCAGAATTATTCTATGATAGTTTTTCACAGCATAAACCCAACCAACTCTGAAATAGTGGGCATATTGTACATAACTCACTATTAATTTCTGGCTTTCCGGGAGAAAAAACCTAACACTTTAGCAAATAAGCTCTGCTTTAAAATGTAATCCAATTAAGTGGTGTCAGTCAGACCGGTAACTTAAGCCAAAGAAAATTTTTCCAATGCAAGACATATGAAGAAATGACCAAATCTTTGATACACAGAACATTCTAAAAGAAAGAAGTCTTAACATCCCTAGGGTCCCCAGACACAACTGGTCTGCCAGAAACAGACTGTTGAATGCTGGTCAGGGCAAGAGCCTCCAACTTGACATCTGAGAGTAAAGAGAAAGGTCAGGATTCTATTTGTACAAACCTGGCAGCCCAAGCAAAGGGCATTCTGTATTGTCCAAGCCGGCTACACACATGCTTAGCTGTCTTGTGCACCTTTTGGGCCGTCTAAGGTCAGAAATAAGAAGAAAGGTTCATATTTCTTTAAACTGCCAGGAACACACAGAAAAATAATTCCCCAACTTACTGATACAAAACATCAAAATTCTAGAAAAAAAGAAATAGCTACAAATAAAAACAACATGCAACAGCTACCAACTTTTCAAGACAAAAGTATTTCTTAAAGGCTTGGTGTTTTCTCATTAACAGAGTCTAGAGTCTTCGTCAATGTAGCAGAAGACTGGCTAATGAGTGAAGGGAATGTTTTGCACCAAAGACCTTAACCAGGAAAGTTTTAAGTAGCTTTCACATGTATTTGCTTTCACATCCCAGGTAAACCCTCGTCATTCTTGGGAGAAGCTTGTTATGGATACACTTGGTCTTTTTACACTCAAGAAAAGGAACAAGTGACCAAGAGTCAATACAATTAGTCTAATGTGGGCAGGAACTGCTGTTTGCACAGGCACTGAGCGATGACAAAGCAGATAAACTGCCTATGGAGTCTAAACGGTCTGTGAAATGCTGGCTGGATGCTTCTCCCTAGGGATGCTGAATGCTGAGGCTTTTACCTACATTGCAAAGACATTTTATTCCCCCACAAATTAGTCACATGTCTCCTCAGCATCTTCCACTTAATAAACACTATTTGGATACATGAGTAAATGCCACGTACAACAGATCAACTCTTCATAAATACTCAGTAGCTGGAGTGCTGTTAATGAACTGCGTCATAAAAACTTCCCTTCTCTGGGCCTCAGTTTTCTCAGTAATAAAATGAGGGGGAGGGGCTAGATCGACAGATTCCAAACGCTTGGAGGACATGGTCCGGAAATCTGGATGATTGATGGAGGGTTGCCAACTCTTACTTTTGCCACTCAAGGAAATAAAACAAAAAAAATATTTAAAAAAACCCTACTATTAAATATGCTAACATTTCATGACAGAGAGGTTTAACATTTAAAAATAGGAAGAACAAAATCCTCAGACTAAAGGACAGCCTTCTAATTGAGTACATTTAGTTTGATGAAACACTCACTAGCTTGTCTTTATTTTCTTTACTTCACCACATACAGGAGTAAATATGGGTTATGAATCGGCATCTGGGAATCACAGGACTGGATCATCTCTACCCTCCCAGCTCTGACATTCTAGCGTGGTACAGGTGGCTGGGAGTGAGAAAGAGTGGCTATTGGCAAGGATTTGGTGTCAATTAACAGATGTTGCCTAAAAGCCTTTAGCTTATTTTCAGGAGCAGAAATCAGATTGTCATAAACAGAACATACATGAAAAGGAAAAAAAAAAGACATGTTCAAAAACAGTACATGAAAAGGAAAAAAAAAAGACATGTTCAAGCTGTAGCATGCATACTCATGTAGTATACAATCTTTTCAGAATATATAACATGCTCAGAAAATACGTTTTTCTCATCCTAGGGGTTCACTGATAATGTAATTTAAAATATCCATAAAAGGCAAATTCTACATTATAAACTAAAAGGCTCACAAACAATCTTTATAAATACCTTCGCTGGGTCTGAATTTTTGATGTAGGGTTCCGCACAGTGTGTAATGTTGCCCTGTAGGACTTTTTCAATTCGTGCAACTAGAAAAATTTCAGGATGTGGATTTGTCACCGAGAAAATGCCCTGTAAAACAATTGCTTCCATTAGACTTTTTTTTTTTTTAATTTTATTTAACCACATACATACAGTTGTTTGGTTAATGATTCCTACTAGAGTGTTTAGTATAAACCAACCAACCAAACTCGCTGCAGACAAGTTGATTCTGACTCATGGCAACCCCACGTGTTAGAGTATTACTGCTCCATAAGGTTTTCTACAGTGTTCAGTATAGAATGTTGAGTGGTTAAAGCCCTCGACTGCTAACCTTTTCGGTTAGCAGTTCAAAACCACCACCTGCTCTGTGGCAAAAAGATGTGGAAGCCTATTTCCGTAAAGATTTAGAGCCTTGGAAACCCCATGGGGGTAGTTCTACTCTGTCCTACAGGTTCCCTGTAAGTTGAAATGGACTCGACGGCAGTGGGTGGGTTGATATTCAACATAGGATCATATCCTGTTGTTGTTAGTTGCCGCTGAGTCAGCTCTGACTTATGGCGACATTATATATAATGCAACGAAACACTGCCTGGTCCTGCGCCAGCCTCACAATCATTGCTGTACTTGAGCCCACCGCTGCAGCCACTGTGTCAATCCATCTCATTGAGGGTCTCCCTCTTTTTCGATGACCCTCTACCCTAGGACCCTAGAATTAGATAATATTTCTTTGCATACAGTTTTCAAAGCTCCCAGTGTTCCTTTCAAAATGGATTTTACTTCTTCTCAACAATTTCACATCTATTAGTCCCAAAGTACAAGTCTCACTATTGCTGCTTAACCTTGTTCGGCTCAGTTTGCAAGATGCAGTCCAGGGCTTCGGACAGGTGCATTCAGGTTCAAATCCTTGCTGAGAATTTGCATTTCTAACAAGTTCCTAGCTGAGAATTTCCATTTTTAACAAGTTCTGAGGAAGTTATACCTAAGATTCACTTGGAGATCTTGTTAAAATGTAGATTCTGATTCAGTATGCAAATTATCAGCAGGGGTTCCAACCAGAGGGAACAGGTTTATAGCCCTGGTGCATTCTTTGACCTAATGAATACAATGTGCATTGTTTGACTTAATTGACATGTACTAAAATAGTGTGCATCTCTCAAATGCATATGCATGTAACTCCAGAGTAGTTCACTCACATTTAATTAATACTTATTGCAGCTAGGAAACCCTGGTGGCGTAGTGGTTAAGTGCTATGGCTGCTAATCAAAAGGTCGGCAGTGTGAATCCACCAAGTGCTCCTTGGAAACTCTATGGGGCAGTTCTACCCTATCCTATAGGTCACTATGAGTCAGAATCGACTCAAGAGCAACAGGTGTGGTTTTTTTTGTTTGGTAATTGCAGCTAAGAAAGAAGAAAATTTTACTGCTCTGTGTAACAGAAAAAAGAAATCATGCTATAGAAAATGTTCCTTTGTTGATGTTAAAAGAGCTCTGTTGCTTTCAATGGAAAGGTAGGGAACAGAGGATCCCAAACGTTTTGTCCCCATACACTTTATTTAAGGGTATCCATGAAGACACAACCAATGTTAAAGCAGTTTTCTTTGAATGTATGCAGAACACTCATGTCATCCCCTATCCAATTAGGCTCCTTCCAAATAGAATATCCTCTAAATAGCCTGTTAGCTATGTCTGCTATTTAAAGGAGCACCACACAAACTGATTGGAGTGGAAAAATCCATCACTGGGACTCTACCAGGTTTGATTTTTCTACTTGGTATATTACCAACTGTGTTAATAAAGTGCTTTCCAATTTTCAGAGTTTCAGACACATTATCTCATTTGTTCCGGATAGAACATTTTAAAGTAGACAGGGCAGAATAGAAAACTGAGTGTAAGAGGCTAAAGACTTCCCCACCAAGTCCAACAGCTTGTAACCAGCTAGACAATGGCTGATTTGCCTTTCAATCCCCAAGCAGCAAGCATGGAACAAAGTGGTTAAAAACTGCTCAGGAGTGAAATTTCCTGGGTTCAAATTCTGGCTCCTCCATTTATGGGTTTAGGCAAGACATGACTGCCATAAGTCTCAGGTCCCTCATCTATGAAATGGGGATGATGATAATAACAGCTATTTTATAGACTTTTATGGATTTAAATAAAATAATGCACATTAGCTACCTGGTTACTAGGGTGGTCCAAAGTGTCTCAAAGTCACAGAACTTGACTTCTGGAACTGCCGGGAACATGCCGCTAAAGCTATAAGAAGCGGCTGGCAGAATGTAGGCTGAACAGTGCATCCTGAATGCAGTCTTACGCTTACTAATTGCCATGTATCTGTACTGGATCTTTTTCATGCATTCTCCCTCATTTAGATTTATAGAAACCCTCGAATGCAAACACTGCTACATAGACATTTTTAAGATTAGGGAACTGAGGCTCAGGTTTTGTAGCTTACTTAGAATTACACAGACAGTTAAGTGGCTGAGAAGGATAGAAGCCGGGGCTTCCAGACTACAAAACCTATGCTATACTGCCTCTTAGCTTTGGGGCACATCCATCTCTCATCTCACACAAATAAGGCTGGATTAGAAGAGTAATAATGATTATTATCACAGCTAACATTTACAGAGCACTTATTGTTCCCGATTCCCAGTACTCTAGGCATTTCCCCACAATGATGCCAACAATGAGTGTTATGCTTTTAAAGTTGTTGATGAGAGCCAACAGCATGTCATTTTCACTTGTTTGTCACTGATCTAAGCTGTACTGAGTGGACATGGTGTGCCTGACACAATGCTGAGTGCTTTCTGAGGATAACACACCTCGTTTGCGCTCATAACAGCCCTTGAATGCAGGTATCATCGTTACCTTCATTTTACAGATGAGGATGCTGAGGTGATGTTCATTTTTAACTAATCAGGGATTCCGGTGTGGGAAGACACTTCCTGGGAGCTGTTTTCCCAGCAGCTTTCTGCTCTCCCCCTGACCCCAGAGTTCAGAAGGGTAGCAGACAGAGCCCAGGAATCCTGTGTGGGCAGGAAGACTGGCCCTTTAGGACAGGTTTCTGGCCTAACCACCATTCCAACCAAGGATGCATGGCTGTGCCCGCCACGGTGACTCTTACCCACTTCTCTGCCCCCTCCCTCCAGAGAACGGATCATGTTGGCGCCACCCAGCCCCCAGCACTTACAAGCCTCCAAGGCATGGCAGGGCATGTGGTAGGGGGCGTCTACACCCCTTCCCTAGCCCAACAACTACCGCCTGCTGGTTAGGTGCCCACAGAGCCACAGGTAGACAAACCCTCAAGAGTCAAGCAGCCCCCTCAACACCTTTAAACCAAGGTCACTCAGGGTCCAACACTGGGGGCAGAGTAGACCGAGTTCTGTCAGGGCATCTGGGAACGAACCACCAGGCAACTGAGAGTAAAACAAGTGGTCACATTGGCTGTTTGGTGTCAGGGAGGTCAAACCATTCTGAGATGGACACAAATTTCTCTTTTCCTGTGGACATCCTGTTGTTCCTCAAGAAGCTCCTGGAGAGCATGATTCTAGGGAGCCGGAGGCCTACAGCAGCCTCCAAAGCTAATCTACCATATTGCCTCTCTCTACAGATAACACAGCTACTTGAGAAGTCTTAGGTCTAGAAGGGACAGAGCTGCCAGACAACCCTTTCTGGGAACACTGGGGAACTAGGCTATTTTTCTCTCTCTAGGGTGACATGGGAAGTAGTTCAGTATAGAGGTCAAAGCCTGGGCTTTGGAGCCTGCTAGATCTAGGATCACCTTGGACAAGTCATTTGACTGCTTAACACCTCAGTTTCCTCACTGTAAAGTGAGGATACTAACAGTACCTACCTAACCTTACTGGGTTGTTGTCAGGATTAAATGACTTCATACAAATAAAGTACCTAGAGAAATACAATGGCAATAATAACTGCTCACCAAATTGTTGTTATTGATTGCTGTAGTAAAAAATCAGTAAGTATTATAAAATTAATGAGATAAGATTAGTGTTCAGATCTAACTTTTAGACTCACTCCTACACGGGAAAAAGTTGAGGAAAAAAACTTCTTGAAAATAAAATGCTCACTTCCTGGTATCTTTAAATGATTTGAAAAAAGGTACAGAATTAAAGCCACTTGAAGGCCTCCTTCAAGTCCAACATCTTCTGTGTGGTCCTCTAAGTTAATTCCTGACCACTGACCCCTCCTCAAATTCTAAACTCCTCTAGTATCATTGTGTTATGTATTTCAGCACTTAATCATGTTCTGTATAGTACTGTCGCCTGAGTTCTGTCAAACAGACCTGGGTTCAAATTCCACCTTCACCACAACGAGCTATGTAATGGTGGGTAGCTTACCTAAACTCTTTGAGCGTCAGTTTCCTTATCTATAAAACAGTGATATTTGTACCATTTCATAAGACTATCACAATTACCATGAGACAACAATGGACAAATACTAGCAGACAGGAAGTATTAAAAAAGTGCTGATTTTCTCCCTGACCTCAATTATACACTGGATGAAACCTGAAACCACAATTCAAACTCCTTGCATCAAACATACAGCTGATAGTGATAGGGAACCCAAGGTTGAGTAAGGATATTGTTGATGTGTTGTGAGATTGTTAACCATTGTCACAGGGCAACATTTGCACTAACTGTTAAATGAGAAACTATTTTGTTCTGTAAGTCTTCATCTTAAGTGAGAATAACAGCACAATTGGAAGAGCGTAGTCAATGTCACTGAACTGTGCATGTAGAAATTTCTGAAACGGTGTATCTTTAGCTATGTGTATTTTCACCAAAAAAAAAAAGGTTGAGAAGTTAGAGGGTTGACATGTTATGGGGTTGTTAACCAATGTCATAAAACAATATGTGTACTGAATGTTTAATGAGAAACTATTTGTTCTGTAAACCTTCACCTGAAGTACAATAAAAAAAAAAAGGAAAAAAAATACAGCTGAGTACATTCAAGTAATACAGTAAATACATCATTGGCTTAAAATGACTTATTCAATATTCTGGGGGAAATTTTTTTAACACATAATCCAATAGCAGGCTCTCAAATAATATTCTACTTGCTCAACTTGTCTTTTAGAAGCATATGCCATCACAGAAGTGAACACTGTAGTCTAGATAACAAAATAAGGAGCTATAGACAATGAGGTACAACTGGGGTTGGGGGGAGGGGAAAGCTAACACAGAACCATACTCCCAAAACGGTAGTGACAGCACATGGAAATTTTCCCTACCATTTGGCAATCTGAATCAATGAACATGTCTGACCTTGAAAACCACACTGCTGGGAATTTACTCTAAAGGGATAATCCAGCAAATGAGATAAGATGATGCACAAGGATGGTCAATGCAGTGTTATTTGTGACATCCAAAAAATAGAAATATCCTAATTAGCTTAATCAATGGAATACCATGTTAGCTGGTAGTAATAATGTGGCTCATCTATACATACTGATATAAGACGTTAACATGTATTTAACATGTTGTTGTTAAAGGAATGAAGTAGCTATAAAATACAATGACTATGATACAATTTTTATATGAGCATACATAATAAGTATGTATTTAGATATACAATAGAGATATCTGGAATTTCACTAAAATGTTTATAGTTACTATATACAGGTGATACTTTTTACTTTCTTCCTTATACTTTTTTATTGCTTGAATTTTCTACGTAAGTATACACTTAATCTTTCTAATCAAGAAAAAAGTTACAACATTTTTATTTTGGGAAAAATAAGTCTCCTTAAAATGTGGGCTGCTTTGTTCTTATACATCTTACTATTTTAATTTTATGCCACAGTGTAGTTTCCTTTCAGCTGCAGAGGTCTAGAAAGAAGACCATCAACTCTGCTCCCCCTAACTTCTTATGGCCTCCAGTCTGGTCAAAATACCAGGGAACTGTTAGGGTCTTTTTAAAGGGGGTTCTTCGTACCAGATAGGACAGAAGAGAGTAGCATTACAGTTATGACACAACCAGTTCCCTTCTATTGCTTTTAAACTCCCGTGACAATGTGTATAAACAATCTTTACACGTCCTTAAAATTATCTAGGTCATAATGGATGTGGGAATCAGAGATGTGTAAGTTATTATAGGGCTATTATTTCTTCAAACCGTTAGGGAACCTAGTAGCTTGCTCAGAAATAGGCACATGCGGGTGTGTGTGTATATCAGCATTCCATCTTACAAATACTTCCTTTGGGTATCACATCATGGTCCCATTGAAAATGCTGCTTCACCGATGTATTACTAGCATGTTTGTTGGTCTCCTTCATTCCCCTCCAACTTCAGTCCTCTGAAAAAAATACCTGCAGACAGACTTTACAAGAGCTGCCTGAAACCATGAAAAAAACCCAAGGGTGCTTCTGCTTCTTATTCTGAAAGTGCTACAAAGGCTAAAGATTATTCTTTACCTGTTTTATGTAGCGTAACTGAGATTCACCAATTCCATGAATGAAAGACTCAGGTGAAGAACCTTTTAGGTTTCCCTCGCTGGCCAGTTGAGCTGAAGGGACCAACAGCATTTCACGGACAGATGGGGGATTTAAGTCTATGTGGAAGTCAGCTGAAATTTTACAATTGTTCTTTACATCAAATACGGCAAGATTGATAAAAAAGGGTTCAACCTGAAAATGAATACAGTTACATTTTAAAACTACTGTAATACTTCTTGGGTATTGCGGGGTTCAGTTAGCAGGGACACACATTGCAAAATAATTTTTTTTAATCACTCAAGCTGCTGTGATTACAGTTCCTTTCTGAGTTCAACCCTTAGCTAAAACTGCATTATGGTTCGTTTGCATATAAGAAAGAGTATTCAAAAATTAATAGACTTTACCCAATTCTGGCTTTGATCAAGTGTAAATAATTTCACATGTTATAAATTCAAAATACAACACTGAGCAGAAATCATAAGCTTATATTTAAAGAACATCAATTGCTCAATGAATGAAATTTAATTCTCTACACGTCTATTGAATCTACCTAAAAAGATGATGCCAATATTATAAAGCAAAAATGAATCTTCATTTTCGCTATGTTATAACTTACACGACTATACATTTCATGCAAGCTAGCATCAATCAACATCAAATTACTTGACAAAAGCTTTGCCCCATCAGCAGTTTTGGAAGACATGCTTCCTCTCTACAGATGGCATTTGAAAGCTGGTCACAAAGAGAAATCTCATGCCAGATGGCATAAAGATTAACCCTTTGCACACAGAAAGCCTGCTAGTGCATTTCAGGCAATCTGTAAGAGAATTCAACATCACTGTTGGTATTTTTAAATGACAAAACTGGGACCAAAAATTAAAGGTGAACATAAAATACAATCTCACTGAAGATTTTACATTTATAGTTTCAAGCATTTCTAAGCAACTCAAATAATCTGTGACAGGTGATAATCAGAATTTTCTCTGCGGAACAAACAGGATCCCACTCGATGAGAACAGTGAGTGAGCCTAGGGGACTGCACAGCATCTACATTCAAGCATAGCTCTGGTGTTTCTTAGTCATGGATATGAATTAGTTTCACAGAAGAAAACACAACCTCTGGTAGAATTCACAAATTTGAGTATTTTCCAGGTTCTGGGGACATGCCTCTCTTGAATGCCAAGAGCCTACCCTAATCTGCTATTCTGATTAGTTAAGACTTTCATGAATTCTGTAAAGATGAAAATATATTCATATTTTGGTAAAAGAAAGAGATGGATGGAATTTTTCCATGCCAAATTTATCATACTATGTAGAAATGGCAATTTTCATCCAATAAATTAGTGCTCCGCTATTTAAAAAAAAAGGCATTTCCTTAAGCACTGATTCAATGGAGGTAAACAAAAAGGTCATACATACATTTGTGGGTGGTCCTTTTGCATTGTCTCCAACTTGACCCAAGATATTAAAAGTTAAATCATGGCAATTTACCAGGAAACGCTTGTTACATTTTTCTTCAAATGGCTTGATATCAGGCTCAATTCCTGAAAAGTCCAACCTCTACAAAACAGATAATGAATCATTACCAAAAAAAGGAGTCATTAATGTAGACCTACAAGTAAAAATCCATCACTCATTTGTGAGTTTTTTGTACCGAAATGGCTTTTGTGTTGCTGCAATGCTGGAAGCTATGCCACTGGTGGACAGGTTTCAGTGGAGATTCCACAGTAAGAAAGACTGGAAAGAAGGACCTGACGATATACTTCTAAAACAATTGGCCAGTGAAAACCTTATGGATAGAAGCAGAACATTGTCTGATATCGTGCTGGAAGATGAGGCTCTCAGGTTGGAAGGCACTCAAAGCACGACTGGGGAAGAGCTGCCTCCTCAAAGTAGAGTCGACCTTAATGACGTGGATGGAGTCAAGCTTTTGGGACCTTCACTTGCTGATGTGGCATGACTCAAAATGAGAAGAAACAGCTGCAAACATCCATTAATAACCGGCACATGGAATGTACGAAGTATGAATCAGGGAAAATTGGAAGTTGTCAAAAATGAAATGGAACGCTTGAAGAAAGATAGCCTACGCATAGTGAGCTAAAATGGACTGGTACTGGCCATTTTGAAACAGACAATCATGTGGTCTACTATGTCAGGAACGACAAATTGAAGAGAAATGGCATCACATTCATCGTCAAAAAGAACATTTCAAGATCTATCCTGAAGTACAATGCTGTCAGTAATAGGATAATATCTATACACCTACAAGGAAAACCATTTATTATGACTATTACTCAAATTCACACACCAACCACTAATACCAAAGATGAAGAAAACTGAAGATTTTTACCAACTTCTGCAGTCTGAAATTGATCAAACATGCAATCAAGATGCATTGATAATTACTGGTGATTGGAACGTGAAAGGTGGAAACAAAGAAGGATTAATAGTTGGAAAATATCCCTCTGGTAAGAGAAACAACGCTATAGATTGCATGATAGAATTTTGCAAGACCACCGACTAATTCTTTGTAAGTATCTTTTTTTAACAACATAAACAGCGACTATACACATGGACCTTGTCAGATGGAATACACAGGAATCAAATTGACGACATCTGTGGAAAGAGACAATAGAAAAGCTCAATATCATCAATCAGAACAAGGCCAGGGACCAACTGCAGAACAAACCATCAATTGTTCTTATGCAAGTTCAAGTAGAAGCTGAAGAAAATTAAAACAAGCGCACGAGAGCCAAAGTACAACCCTGAGTATATCCCACCTGAACTCAGAGACCATCTGAAGAACAGATTTGATGCACTGAACACTAGTGAGGAAAGACCAGATGAGTTGCGGGATGACATCGTACATGAAGAAAGCAAAAAGTCATTAAAGACAGAAAAAAAAGACCAAAATGGATGTCAGAAGAGACTCTGTATCTTGCTCTTGAAAGCAGAATACCTAAAGTGACTAGAAGAAATGATTAAGTAAAAGAGCCGAACAGAAGATTTCAAAGGGTGGCTCAAAAAGACAAAGTAAAGTATTATACTGAAATGTGCAAAGACCTCAAGTTACAAAATCAAAAGGGAAGAACACGCTCAGCATTTCTCAAGCCGAAAGAAAAGAAAAACTTCTAGCCTCAAGTTGCAATACTGAAGGATTCTACTGGGAAAACAATAAACGACTGAGGAAGCATCAAAAGAAGATGGAAGGATTTGTCTTCCGGTATGGGAACAAAAAAAAAAAAAAAGATGGAAGGAATACACAGTCACTGTACCAACAAAAAAAAAAATTGGTTGATGTTCAACCATTTCAGGAGGTAGCATATGCTGAAGGAAGAAGTCCAAGCTGCACTGAAGGCACTGGGGAAAAACAAGGCTCCAGGAATTGATGGAATACCAATTAAGATGTTTTAACAAATGGATTCAATGTTGGAAGTGCTCGCTCATGTATGCCAAGAAATTTGGAAGACAGCTACCTGGCTAACCGACTTAAAGAGACCCATATTCGTGCCCATTCCAAAGAAAGCTGATCCAAAAGAATGCGGAAATCATCAAACAATATTATTAATATCACACAGAAGTAAAATATTGCTGAAGATCATTCAAAAACGGTTGTAGCAGTACATCAACAGGTGACTACTAGAGATTCAAGCTGAACCCAGAAGAGGACATGGAACAAGGGATACCATTGTTGATGTCAGATGGATCTTGGCTGAAAACAGAGAATACCAAAAAGATGTTTACCTATGTTTTACTGACTATGCAAAGGCATTCAACTGTGTGGATCATAAATAATTATGGATAACGTTACTAAGAATGGGAATTCTGGAACACTAAATTGTGCTCATGCAGAACCTGTACATAGACCAAAAGGCAGTCATACTACAGAACAAGCGGATACTGTGTGGTTTAAAGTCAAAAAAGGTGTAAGTCAGGATTGTATCCTTTCACCGTTCTTATTCAATCTGTGTGCTGAACAAATAATCCCAGAAGCTGGACTAAATGAAGAAGAACACAGCATCAGGACTGGAGGAAGATTCATTAACATCCTGTGACATGCAGATGACACAACCTTGCTTGCTGGAAGTGAAGAGGACTTGAAGCACTTACTGATGAAGATCAAAGACTATAGCCTTCAGTATGGCTTGTACCTCAACATAAAGAAAACAAAAATCCTGACAACTAGATCAATAAGCAATAGCATGATAAATGGAGAAAAGATTGAAGTTGTCAAGGATTTCACTTTACTTGGATCCACAATCAACACCCATGGAAGCAGCAGTCAAGTAATCAAACGACGCATTGCGATGGGCAAATCAGCTGCTAAAGACTTCTTTGAAGTGTTCAAAAGTGATGATATCACTTTGAGGACTACGGTGCACCTGACTGAAGCCATGGTATTTTCAATCGCCTCATACGCATGCGAAAGCTGGACAATGAATAAGGAAGACCAAAGAAGAATTGCATTGGGCAAATCTGCTGCAAAAGACCTCTTTAAAGTGTTAAAAGGTAAAGATGTAACGTGGAGGACTAAGGTGTGCCTGACTTACGGATTAAGGTTTAAAGAGGATCTCAGGGCAGCAGTTTTGGGGGTTCATCCAGCCTCAAGCTTCATATAATTTCTTAATTTCAATTTTATTTTGTATCAAATGGAAAAGTAAATCGTTAAGAAGTTGGTGAAGAATATTGAATATACCATGGACTGCGAACAAAACAAACAAACCTGTCTTGGAAGAAGTACAACCAGAATGCTCCTTAGAAGCAAGGATGGTGAGACTTTTTCTCACATACTTTGGACAAGTTATCAGGAGGGATCAGGCCCCAGAGAAGGACATCATGCTTGGTAAAGTAGGGAGTCAGTGAAAAAGAGGATGACCCTCAATAACACGGATTGGCACAGTGGCTGCAACAATGGGCTCAAATACAGCAACAATTGTGAGGATGGTGCAGGACCGGGCAGTGTTTCCTTCTGTTGTACATAGGGTTGCTATGAGTTGGAACTGACTCGACTGCACTTAACGACAACATAAGTAAAAATGGCAGCTCTAGTCATTCTTCATTTAAACTTTTTTGTACACTCAACAAGGCTTTGTGGATCTCTTGCAATAAGGTTCAAACACTGATGGCAAAATCTTGAAGGGGCATGATGAGAGTCTGAGATAAGTCAATGTCAAAGTCACAAGTCAGTGCCATGTCCTACAAAGCCCTAAATGTCATCACTTCCTAACTCCCCCATCCCTCAGAACTCATCTCCTACCACTCTTGCCTTTTCTTCCCCTCTCTGTTCTAGCCAGGAGCCCTGGTGGCACAACGTTTAAGTGTTTGCTGCTAACTGAAAGGTTCGCAGTTCTAACCATCACCTGATCCACAGGAGGAAAGACCTGAAGATCTGCTCCTGGGAAGACTACAGCCTTGGAAACCCTATGTGGCAGTTCTATCCTGTCTTATAGCATCACTGTGAGTTGGAATCAACTCGAAGGCACACAACAATTCTTCCAGTCACACCGTCTCGCTCCCTTAAGTATACTCTCACCTCAGGGCCTTTGCATTTGCTGTTCTATATCAGGAACCTATTCCCCAAGATAGCTGCCTAGCTTGCTCCCTCCATTCAAGTCTCTGATCATTTGGCACTTCCACAAAGAGACTTTCTCTAACTCCCTATAAAACTTCATACTTCCTGACAGTCTATGCCCCCTTTCCTTGATTTATTTTTCTAACATTACTTTTTTTTAGTTGTTCACTGTACAAACAAATGTCCCATGACGGCAGGGAGTTTGTTTCCTCTGTGAGTTATGCAGGAGGCAAAATTGACAGGAAAGCGAGTGGGAGGTGTCAAGAATAACGCAACAGCCTCTTACTGGGGAGACTGGGTAGATAGTGATGTTATGAAGTTAGCTGTGAAATAAGAATGAATAGCAGATTTGGGGGGGGTGAGTAGAGATGGTAAGTTCAGAGTGGGACATGTTGAGTTTCAGGTGCTGTAGGTATGTTACTGGAAAAATGGGAGAGGGCTGGGTTGGAGATCTGGATTTGGGAGTGGGCAGCATCTAAGGTGAGAAGGCTGACAAGGGTGGAATTCTGGGGACCACCTACATATAAATGATGAACAAAGGGAGAGGCGTCTACCTAGGAAACTAATAAACACTGGGTTCAACTTCTAACAGAGCTGGGGGATGTACCCTGGCTGCCATAAAAGATGTATTTTTTAAATGACTGGTATTTCAAAATAAAAAGTGAAAAATACCTTGGGAGTCAAGGAATTCCTTTTAGCAGAGGAAGATCTGTGCCTCCTCAAAGAAACTCCTAGAAACCTCCTTAGCTCTCAAGGCTCAGGCAATCTAAGTTCATCTGTTTATTTTGAATGTCTGAAGAGGCTTTTATTCTGTTCATAAATGGGAAGAAAAGTATAGCTTGTGAGACAACTTGCTATACTTTCATTAGGCCAGAGACACAGTAGACGGGAATTGATTGGGTGAATCCGAGCAGAACATACTGCCAAAAATGGAAAACTCCAGCCAAGAAACACAAGTTTTCTCAATTACCTAAGTAATTTAAGCCAAAACAGGTATTGTACCTGAAGAATCTTGGATAATTATAGCTGTTCTGACCTACTCTGTGTCACTGACAAAATCCTCCTTAAACAAATCTAAAGTATAATATTTGCACCTGAAAGCACGATTCTCCTCTCCTACCCCGAGTCTATTTATCTACCAAAGAAATACAGTTGTGTGGGACTCGACAGCTCCCTCTTGAACACTTATCTATCTGTGGAGCCAGCGTAGGCAACTCACTGGCACAGAAATCAATTCTGACTTCCGCCCATTTATCTGCTCTCCTTTCTGCCTTAACTCAGATAGTGGAATGTGAAGAGAAACTAGATCAAACCACCCCAGCCCCCAAATCCTTTCCCTTCTGAGGCCTGCAAACGTAAATGCTGGGACATACGGCCCTTCCCAAGTAGTTCAAAGTCTGAGTCATCTGTTCCATAAGTCAGAGTTTCTTAATCTCTAAGGTCAGTGGTAGAAAACATGTCCCTAAACACTGAACTGCGGCCAAAAGAGAAGGCTGAAATTATGGCATGACACTTCATTTAGAAAGGGTCCTCAATACATGACAATATGGGTTTCTCTGTGGCAAGGCTGCCTTTCACGATCAACATTCTGTTAAATTTGTTGTTCTTAAAGCTTCATCACAACAGTGAGTTTTACTCTCACTGTAGCTCATTGATAAACAACGTTCAAATATAAAATCAGTTCAGTTCCATGACCACAAAAGTACCACACCACAAATTTTTAAAGATACTGGATTTAGTTTCAACCACAATCAATTGGCTTCTTTGTGTACAATGAAAGAGCCTGACATGTCCAATTAGAGGCCAATCATCTGGGGGAAATCAAAGGCTCAGACATGCTTGGAACAAGTATACTTCTGAATGAGTATCTTAGAACTAACACTCCCAAGGACTGCAATACTCTTATTTTTTAAAAAATTGTGTAACTTACACTAAAACAATGTAATACTACGATAGAAAAATAAAAGAAACTTAAAAAATCAACTTTTCCAAATAATTTTCTTTTCTCATGTGATATTTTTATAAAGGAAGGATGTTTGCGTTACTTCTTAACGATTTACTTTTCCATTTGATACAAAATAAAATTTAAATTAAGAAATTGTATGAAGCTTGAGGCTGGATGAACCCCCAAAACTACTCCCCTGAGATCCTCTTTAAACCTTAATCCTTAAACAAAAAATATCCCCTAAAGTCTCCTCTGAAACAAACAATAGTTTAAGTTTAGCTTAACTAGCAAAGAATGTCTGCCTTGAGCATTTGTGCTCTTTTAAAAAAAACTATCTACATGGGATCAAATTGACAACAGCAACTCAAAAGGCTGGACAGAAAGCTTAGAGGACAGAGTTTATGTTAATGGACAAGGAACAACTCAGAAAAGGTGGGTGAGAATGATTTCACAACTCAAAGAATATAATCAATGTCACTGAATTATACATGCAGAAATGGCTGAACTGATGTATGTTCTACTGTGTATATTTTCATAAACAAAAAATAATTTTTGAAAAAAACAAATTAAATAAAGAAATGACAACCAAAAAATACCAGTTATCTCCAAATTATTCAAAATTTGCATTAAGGGGAAAAAACTCCAATGCTTATATAATACATAATTTTCTATTTCAAATTTAAAAAATTATTTTAGGAATCTCTTATAGAGACAAAAGAAAACAGAAAAAAATCTGTCTTCCTCAAATAATTTCACTCTTTCATTAAATATTTTCAGTCAGAAAATGTTTATAATACTTATATACACTGTATACTTTTTCTATTTGAAAGACACTAGAGAATTAATTAGAAAATGTAATGGAATTAAATATTAACTGGATATATCTTAGTACAAAAAGTACCTAACTCTCCTGAAAGAAGTCAGAATACACATATGCACATGTTGTTGTTATGTGCCACTGAGTCGGTTCCAACTCATAGCGACCCTGTAGGACAGAGTAGAGCTGCCCCATACGGTTTCCAAGGAGTGCCTGGTGGATTCGAACTGCCGACATTTTGGTTAGCAGCCGAGCTCTTAACCACTGCGCCACCAGGGCTCCATAAACCTGCACTTTCCTGCACCACCCTCCATTTAAAGAGGGATTCAGCTAGGCATGAAAATCATCCCAGTTCTACAGTCCCACATCAAAAGTGAAAAATAAATCATGTTTCATGTGGCTTGGTTTTCTTTATATTGCAGATATATACTGCCACTAGATCACAATTGTATTTAATGGGTTAAAAGAATGCTGAAACCATCTTTAAGCGTTCTTTGTATATTTTCAAGAGCGAGATGAAGTGAAAACAATACAAGGAACTGAGGAAAAACATATACACTTGGTCCAAAACTATTTGCATGTGTGACAGTCACTGTGAGTGAAGAGTTAGTTGTTAAACTATCTGCTCAAAGTGAATAAGATAAATAGAAAACAATCCATATTCACCAATGGTGCCAAAATCAGTGATTTGACATTTCAAAGATGTAGCTTGTCTGAATAAGCAACAATTCTAGGAGTACTTAAAGAAGTATATCATTAATACCTGAACTTCTGAATCAAAAGAAAAAAGATTCTGTCTTCCATCTCCTCTACTGAGTTTGTTTAGCTGTTCAGTTTCTCTTCCATACTAAAATTTAAAAAAAAAAGAATATGTAAAAGCAGGCCAAATACTACGTTATTTTCTTCAAAACAGTACTAAACATTGTTTACAAAGATAGCTTATGTGAACTAGCAATCTGACAGCCTAAAAAATGTACCATTCTCCATTTTCATGTATTTAAGATGCTTATTTGGCTAAGGAGTGATATACTGCTGTCACTATGACCCACGATAAGCTACTGATCAGATACTTTCATTTTCTATGTCTCTCATAACACCAAGAATATTGTTCAGCGTGCAGTAGATACAAAAACGGAATCCGAGAGACTTTGGATCCGAACAAGAAATAAACAAAAAAGAAAACACTATCCCTTCCATATATCCATGGTGTTCACCTGAAGGTTGTATATAATTCTGATTCCTTCACCTCAGGAAAGATATAATGGGCTGTACAGTCTGGAATGACAAAAACTGAGAGGCAATACATATGAAAGCTACAAAATCACAGAACACCTAGATCAGGAGCCACGCGTGTGCGCCTAAATTTTGGAAAACAGCTTTGAAGCTTTTTGTTGACACTTGAGAGAGGGGTAAAGTCAAACTAGAAAAAAAGGAATTTCTAAATGTGTGTAATTTAGTAGCCTGGAAAGAAAAATAGAGTTAAAATATAAATAGGCTCAAAAAGGGTTTAAATGAAGAAATGGGCCATAACCTGCTAATCTAGTATAAAATAGAGTTCACATAGTAAAATATGCATAATAATTACCCTCTATACTTTTTAAATTGGCTCATTTCAAATATCCAAGAGCAGAGTAAATTTAAATAACACACATGATGTCTGCTCACCAAAATCTCTACATGGTGAAACTCATATACATACACATACATATTCATATAGAGAGAGAATATATGCTTTGCATATGAAATTAACTTATATAGATCATTAAACTGATATCATGTTCATGATCCTCATCAATGGCCCCTTGAAAGAAGAGTGTTTATTTTACAAATGACATAGAGTAATTAAATTGCATAAGAAGCAGATAAAATTGATGAAGTCACAAAACCTTGGAAGGACTTTCCAGTATCTAGAAAAGAAAGCTTTTCCAAACTGCGAGTGGGCACTTACAAATCTGCCTTTAGCAGTGTAACTTTTCTTTTACAGTTTCTACCTCCTTCACTAATTTGCTGTGGTTTTTAAGTTAGAAATGATATTGCCAAATGGAGTCCAGCATTAAAACTTTCATACCTAGTCCTGCACTATCTCAGTTGAAGGCAAGTTGCCATAAGAAAGATATACCTTCATCAGCTCTGGATGCATGCTCCTCTCCAAACTGGCCATGATGTTCTCGGCTTTTCCTTGGCTGCCAGTTTCATCGTCTGTAAATTCATTAAAAGCAGATGTTCCAAACCATACAGACCGTTACTTATCACCTAAGACGAACATCTTAACTATCCCACTCCCATCCTCTCCTACTAGATTTATTGCAAAGAATTTTGATTATGAAAGCAGAGAGAAAACTTTAATGGACTTTTGAAAATCTGCCATGAATTTCCTATCCGTTTCAGTCTGGTCATATTTCACGTGTCAGAGTCCGTGCAGCATCAACTCTTTAAAAATATCTATCAACCTTCAGAGTCATTTGTAATGAAGAAGCAGGTCAGCATTCAACATGAAGAGTTCTATATTCACCGTGCACAAAGGACATTCCCATGGATTAAAGACAAGGGCTTTACTTCAGTAATGAATCATCAAAGAAAATCTGACCTTGTGCTGTTTCTACCGTCTCCTTTTTCTCTTGCACTAAACTGTCGGTATTGATCTGAATAATCTTCTTCAAAGTTATCAACCATTCCTCCATTTCCTGCTCAGTTTCAGCAGCCAGATAATGGCTATACTTATCTAACATCTTGAGTTCAAAAGCATGACGGCGCATTTTGGGGCACTAGAGGGGAAAAAAAAGAAGCATGCGTTCAGTTAGTTTAGTTGCCATCTTAATATTAGATTTCATTAGTTTATTTATTTTTACCTCAGCTCAGCACATATGTGCGTCAATACTTTCATGCAATAATTGCTTCTTTCACCAAGAAGCATAAGCTCCAAGACGACGATAGGACATGTCAAAAACATCTTTTTCTGTTTCCCTCCGTACTGAGGACTGTGCTCTATGCACAAAGTTGGAATAAAATACTGCTTGGTGAAGATGTATTATCATGTAAGGCCTTTTGGCGTCCTTCACATTTAGATCAAACTACCACCATAAAAGTAAACTAATGTTTTACTATTTGCACCCTGCTTAAAGTTTTCCTTGCATATTTACAGAAATTCAAAATCAGCTCTTAAAAACAAAATTAAACATGACCTAGAAAAAATGTGATACTTGCTTTATATCACACCATAAAATGCATCATAGATACCTAATTCACATGCACACCTACTTATAGATACCAAATTCACATGAATAATATTAAAAATACATTCTAATAGCTTAAAAGACTGTAGTTGGTTATGTGAGATTGTGGCTCGCAGTAATAATATGGAAGTGGCTTATCCCAAATACTGGCACACAAGAAAAAAGCCTCTCCTTTCCTCAAACATAAGGACACATCCTTTTACATTCCTACCTCCTTTATCCTCACAAAAGACATGACACCCTATCCTCCTCCCAAACAGTTCAGCATTAATTTCAAAAAAATGCTCATGAATCAAAAATTTTCTACTCCATGGTCATTATTCAAATTCTACAAAGTTCCTCCTCTCATCTTCAAAGTATAGTAAAGGATGAAATTAAGCTGCTGTAGTAAGCTATAAAGATTTATGAATTTGAAAACAATTGGGAGGGGGATCATAAAAATAGATGGGGAAACCAGATCTTAGGAGAACTATAAAGGAGGGTCAACTGTGACTACAACTAATGGAGAAAATCTGAAGGTTGTGCTGTGCTCTCCTTCCTCCAATAAGATAAGAAAGCTGTTATAAATTAAAAAGTTACTTTCTATTCGTGTAGATGTTTATACTTTTTAAAATGCTTTCTCATTTGATCCTCACAACACTCTTGTTTGATAGGGTACATAAAAAAAAAACAAACCCATTGCCCTAGAGTCGATTCCGACTCATAGCGACCCCATGCGTTACAGAGTTTAACTGCTCCATGGGGTTTTCTTGGCTGTAATCTTTACGGAAGCAGATCACCAGGCCTTTCTTCCGTGGCACCACTGGGTGGGTTTGAACTGCCAACCTTTAGGTCAGTAGTTGAGGACAAACGGTTTGTGCCACCCAGGGACCAATAAGACTATATATAGGCTTTATTAATCCCCATCATACAGCTTGGAAAATTAAGATTCAGGCAGGCTCAGGGTGTTGAACTAGTATCTTCATACTCTTAATCAGCTCAGTGCTCTTTCTAGTACACTATGCCACTCTGGTGCTGTAGTAATGGCTCCTAACTCTTGGTCAATCAACTTCCTATTTGGATAGTCACTATGCCCTGTTTCTCACCCCGTCTTTGTTCATGCCCCCTCAGTACCCTAGTGATTCAAATCAACAAACATCTGTTAAAGCCCTACTGTCTCCATAGCACTGCTAAATACTACGGGGCATGCAAAAATAAATAAAACATGGTCCCTGGAATTCAAAATAGAATGTGCATAATTAACCATGAATTAGAGTGTGATTCAGTTAACATGATAGAGGAAAAAGCAAAGTGGTAGCACAAGGGAAGTGGAGCTTAATTCCAACTTGGTGGGCATAAGAGTGAGGAAGGAAATAGAAAACATTTCCATGTAGAAGTGGCATTTGAACAGAGTCTGAAAAGATAAGGTTCAAATAGGAACAGAAGGGGAAAGTATGCGCCAAGTGAAAAAAAAACAATGGCAGAAAAACCACATACGTGTGAAACTCTATGGAGTGCTTGGCTTGGTGTGGCTAGAGCACAGAGTGTATAAGAATGCAAGGGGAGACCAGGCTAGAAAGTAGGATAAGGCCAAATCACTACAGGCCTACAATGCCATGTTAAAATCATCAGATATCACACCAAAAGATGATAAATCAAGAGCCAAAAGTTTTTGAGTAAAGTGAAGGAGCCACTGTATGTCTTAGGAAGACAGTGTAAAAGATGGACTGGACCAGGACAACCAATGAAAAAGCAAGGCTCTAGGTAAAAGATGATAAAAGGAAGATCCAGAAAAAGGGTAGTGAGAGTGGAAAGAAAGTTGGAAGATTCCAGAGGTACTTTGGAGCCAGACTCAAACAGGCTTGATAAACATGAGCAAGAGTGGGGCATCGAAGGTGATTCCGAGGTTACTAGTGTGGATGTTTTGGTGGATGAAGATGGCATTAACCAAGACAGAAAAATGACGAGGTTCTTAACAGTCCATCAGTACATTCCCTAGACAAAAAGAAACAGATTACCTCCATAGCCCTACCTGAACAACATCATTGCAGGCGTCCAAGTAGATGCAGCCTTTAGATTCTTTTAAATTTTTTTCATCTTTATAGGAATTAAGAATATATGAGCCATCAGGAAGCTGAGTTAAGTAGAAATATCGCCTCTTGAATACCTATGGGGGAAAAACCACAGAATATATGAACCATCAGGAAGCTGAGTTAAGTAAAAATACCATCTCTTGAATACCTATGGGGGAAAACCACCAATGATCTATCTGTCACATATACATTGTACTTGAACAGTTTCTTCAATCTAAAAACCTTAAACAGTCTGTCAGTCTTTGTTATCTGGATACTCTTCAAACAACCCTGAGAAGTTGTTAGGAATTGTAACTATCTTCTCAGTTAAGCAAACATAAAGGAAAGAACGATAATTAAGACTGCTTAACACTTTAAAAGAGCCCTGGTGGTACAGTGGTTAAGAGCTATCTATGGCTGCTAACCTAAAGGTTGGGAGTTCGAATCCACAAGCTGCTGCTTGGAAACCCGATGGGGCAGTTCTACTCTGTCCTATATGGTTGCTATGAGTTGGAATTGACTCGACGGCTATGGGTGGGGTATAACACTTTATAAAGCATTTTTATACCTGAATCACTGACCATTTCACTATAGCATCCTTTTTCCACTTAATCGCAAGCTGTGGTTGGACTCTAATTTCATTCACATGACCACAAATCCAAACATATAACTATATATACTTATATATATATATATACACACACACATATACTATATATATATATACACACACACACACACACACTCTATATATACATACACACCTGTACTCCCCTACACTGTACCAGCATCTCTCGTCTTTCAATAAGTCACATACAGCAAGCTGTGGTCAAATGTTTGTCATAGTGAGGGTTAGAGCTTATTCCAGTTGCAATTCCCCAGAATGATGGGTCTAAAATCATTTTCGAGTCAGAAGGGAAGACAAGGAAATAGACTCTTGGTGATAATTAAGGAAATGCAATCCTATGCATCTTGTCTTACAGAACTTTGCTTTAAGATTTAAGCTCACCATTTTCAATCACCCATATGATTAATTAGTATGATCCCTGGCCATTTTAACACCTTTCAGTATGGAAAGTGTATTATTTGTCAAGATCATTCTTGCAAACTACTTAACTTCTGGCACAGTACATGAAATATCAACAATTTCTCTCTCCATAGCATGAGCAAGCAGAATACAGACATACGTCAAGGGGTGTTTCTTTTTAGGAAAGCCAGTAAAAAGAAAAACTGGTGCTTATAGTTATTTCTGACTTGGGTAAGTATCATTGATTTTTGAATGAATGGCAAAAATATACCAGTGTGAGGAACACCCTAACAGGTTAGACTGGTAAATGCTACAGCTTCTATTTCAGAGAGTGGCCACGGGGGCTATATGGTATCAACAGAAAGGAGTCCAAGCAGAAAATATCGACTTGTTTTTCAATGCCAGTCAAGTAAAAGTTACTGCATTACGGTACAAAGGTACACAAAGCGTATATATAACTTCTTACATCTCATTTGCCCACATTTATGTTTACTGGAGCTATAATTGAAAAAAATCTAGATTAATATAAAAGGAAAATGTTAATCATAATGGTGACTACCTACGTACGTTTGCTTATTTTCCTGACAGTGGTTCACATCTGTTATTAAAATGATGGTAACAGAAGACCTAAAATTATATACTGAGCTTATTTGAAATGAATGAACATTTACTGAGTACTTATACAAAACACTGCTTTTTTAAAAGTTATTACAGTAAGTATATACGAGAAAAATTAGAATACATTTTCTAGACAAAAATTAATGTGAAAAATTAAACCAGATTAGAATTTGAACTATGACCAAATCTAAAAAAGTCTACAGCTTCAGTGGTACAATCTGTAGAATCCACTGGCAGTGTCCATAGCCATCAACAAAGAGAGGGACAGAGGAAGCGAAAATACAAAGCAAAACATTTTGTGGCATAGAGTCAAATTATAGTCTGCTAATTTTTTTTTATGTACACCTGCCTCACCACGCACAGACGTTTTGTGGCAGCCACCACTTCCGGTATTAGCAAAGTACGCCATTACAACAGAGATGGAAATGGGATCTGAAATTACAGTAAATCACTTCCTCTAATATCACAATTACATCTAAATGTGTCACTGAGTTGGGAAGCTTATGAATCTTGGGAGAGAGCATGGTAACATGGAAGGAGCAGATGCCTGAAAAGTCATAAGACTTTGATCCTCATCTGGGCTCTCCTGCTAACCAGCCTTGTCCCCATGACTGCTCCTTTCTGGGCTTGCCTCAGTTTCCTCACTTGTAAAACTACAGAATCAGACTAGATAGTAAGATTTTTTTGTACAATCTATAAATTTTATTGAAATTGAACAAATAACACAGTAGCCTCCCTAGGCAAGGGGCTACCCTCCCCAAGCCATTTCCAACACACTAGAAGCACGCAGTTTGCACTATAAGAAATCTTCAAATAAGTCACCTCTATATAGAAATCAGACTCGTCCCAACAACAGATCTGTAAGATCTCTAAGATCCCCTCTCATTCTAATATTGTATGATACATGTTGGGTTTCAACTTCTAGGAAGCTTTCATGGTACCTTTCAAAGAAGAAAAGGGTATCCTAAATTTCTTATATGGAACCAAAAGGGAGATCAGAAACATACCTTCCCTGACATTTAAAAAATTTCCAAGATGTGACTATTTAAGGTATTTAAGTCCACCATTTTTTTTGCATTTCAAAAAGAAGACCAGCTGTAAAAACAATGACTGTATAAAACGGTAATATTTACTCTATATCATACTTTTCGTTTGAAGGCCCCAAGACCTTTGTAACCAATAGCTAATTATTTTAATGTCCCTTGGAGATAAGTAGCATTATCCACATTCTACATAACAGCAAACTGACGGACAAAGAGCCCACTTAAGTTCACCCAAGCAAGTCAGTGGTAGAACTGCAATGAGGATCATACCACAGTGACAAACAAAGATAATCTTGCCCAACCCTCCAATGGTTTCTTATCAAGGTTAGAATAAATTCCAGAATCCTCACCATAGCCTGGAATGCTCTACATGATTTAGCATCAGACTACCCCAGCTACAATGGCTTACCTAAAACCAAAACACCAAACTCATTGCCATCTAGTTGATTCCAACTCATAGCAACCCTACAGGACAAAGTAGAACTGTCACACAAGGTTTCCAAGGCTATAATCTTTATGGAAGCAAACTGTCACATCTTTCTCCCATGGAGCGTCTGGTGGACAACCTTTCAGTTAGCAGCCAGACGCTTAACCACTGTGCCACCAGGGCTCCTCTGATTTACCAGCTGCTCCTTAAATACCCCATGCAAGCTCCTTCAATGCCTTTGTACTTCTTGGTCCCTCAACCCGGAATCCTCTTCCCCCACATATCCACAGAGTTCACTCCCTTACTTCTATATCAGATTTTTGCTTGAATATCACCTCCTCTGAGAGGCCTTCTATGATCACCTGCCGTCTTCATAGCAATATGTTTTGTCTTTTTCATAGAATTATATTCTTATTCATTTATCTATTTACTTATTTACTGTCTGTCTCCTGTAGACTGTTACGGTCCACGTCTCATCTACTGCTGTATCCACAGTGCCTATAACACTACCTGGACTCAAAAACTGCAAAAAGAATGATGAATGAATGAATAATGTACCCAGATTCTCCAGTAGTTTCATCCAGTAGAATGGTGTTTCTCTGTAACGTCCATATTCCTCTTCTTCCTTTCCCTTATTATTTTTCCTTTCTCTAAGCTGGTGAACACAGCTAAAAATTACCCACTTTACTCAAAGTGAGGAACATGGCCCCTGACAAGTAGCCTACTCAGTTCACCCAGAAGAAGAAAACAGGGAGAAAGCCAGAGGCAATGATTCTCTGAGATCAGGGCCCACCCAAGTTTCTTGAAGGCCACAAGGTCTTTGGATGGTAACCTTTTCAACTTTTACCCTCCTTGAGCAGAAACAAAGGTCTTCTGTCACTTAGTTGAATCAAATATAGAAGGCAGGAAAGTTTGAGCACCTGGTATCCTCAGAGGAGGAAAGCCTTTAATCATTTTATACAACAAATCTGAAGAATGTTTACCTAAGCGAACCATCTAACAACCAACCAGTTGCCATCGAGCTGACTCCGACTCACGGTGAGACCATCTGTGTCACCGTAGAACTGTGCTCCACAGGGTTTTCAATGGCTGATTTTTAAGAAGTAGATTGCCAGGTCATTCTTCCTAGGTACTTCTGGTTGGACTTGAACCATCAAGTTAGTGGCCCAGCACATTAATTGTATGTACCAGTGTTACCTAGAAAGACATTATTTACTGCGAAATTATATGAACCAGAAGCCCTGAGAAACGGTGCTCCAAAGGTTGAGAGGCAGGGTAGATGGGCCAGGAGCAACGCAGAGATGGGGTGAGGGGAGATTTATTTGGTTAACGTCTCAGACAGAGGAGAATGAAAAAGCCAGCAAGGAAAAAGAGAGAGCAGCAAAGCAAGAGACATTCTGGGTCTCAGAGCTGTTCTAAACAAGGATGAAAGAAACAATGGGGAAGAAAACGGCAAAAACTTATCAGAGCACTGTGTTGCAATTAATTATACCAGAATGTCAGGAACTTCATCCTGCTGAAGAACCCCTATCAGGTGAGCAACCTAATGTATTACTCCTCTCTCTCCACCATATCATTTTACAGTCCTATCAAGTTTTAATATACTACACAGTCCTACCCTCTGGGAAACTTGTTAAAAATCAAATGTTGTTGTTGTTGTTAGGTGCCGTCGAGTGGGTTCTGACTCATGCTACCCTATGTACAACAGAACAAAACACTGCCCAGTCCTGCACCATCCTCACAATCCTTTCTATGTTCGAGCCCACTATTGCAGATACTGTGTCAGTCTATCTCGTTGAGGGTCTTCCTCTTTTTCGCTGACCCTCTACTTTACCAAGTATGATGTCCTTCTCCAGGGACTGATCCCTCCTGATATCATTTCCAAAGTATGTGAGATGAAGTTTCACCATCCTCACTTCTAGGGAGCATTCTGGCTGTACTTCTTCCAAGACAGATCTGTTTGTTCTGCTGGCAGTCCAT